GTGTCGTCTAGCACACGCTGCTAAGAAATACAACAACGTTATACTCGCGTAGTCCGTTTGCTTTGTAATAATGATTATAGAAGTGAATAGAGACCTACCCAGCTTTGCATGAACAGTGTTGCTCCTTGATATTGTTAGTCCCAGCCTCCGTCTCGATTAGTAGGACATGCGGTGGTTTATTTTTTGACTGTGACCGGTATGCTTTTGCCTCTATTTGGATGCCTTGTTGTTCCTTGCGTTTCACCTGTATGTCGTAAATATAGCCTTCGAACGTATATTGCAGCCCTTTTTGCCTACTTCTATCGGACACTTTATTTGCTGCTTTATAAAAGTTTGATAAAATTTTAGCAGGAAGAGCTGTCACAGCATAAGCCATGTTGATACCAGAGCCCAGATGAAGTTTGTTTGTCGGACGTAGCAACAGTAACTAAGGGGGGCGGGGCTTAGCCAAAGGCGAATTGATGCGTGTTCCTTCCAACGAATCCCCAGATATTTTGGAGGCCCTCTCAAAAATCAAATATATACACTGTATGTTATTTCAACTCCTTAAATTTGAACTAGCAGCATTCCAAGAGTGCCAGTATAACCGTGTTATGTCACTGTGACCTTTCACCAGTAGGTGGCAGCAAGTAACTGTATTAACAGTTAGTGAATCACTGATTCATTCATTTTAACCCTTTAGTTAAAATCGCTGATTCATTCAGGAAGAGACGTGTGAGGGTTAATTAGTGGTTCAAGGCATAGCGCTGAAACCTTATTGTGATTGTTAACTGGGGTCCTTCATTTAACAGTCACAGTCGGGGCCTTCGGGTCCATATGGACCCGAAGGGCGGGATTAATATTTATGAAAAAAATCACTGTTTTTTTTTTTACTTGTTTTTTATAATATTTCTACTTTTTTGGTGTTTTGAGATAATTTTATGATTTATAATTAATATTTATGCAATTATTATGACCTCTTTTTTCTCCTATTGAATATAATAGAATTTTGATATATTTTTTTTTATTTTTTTATTTTTGTATTTTATTTTAGAGTCAAGCCTAGGCCTCATGAAAGCAATTTTTGAAATGAGATGGATGCCATCTGGTGGACACACTGAGCCTTTTAAAATTTCAAAACAGATATATGTAATCTGAATTTATTAGTGTGTATTTGTATAAAAGTGTGTTTGTGTGTATGTGTGTGTGTGGATGTGTCTGTTTTGCACTCTTGATGTTTTATAGATTCACCCCTTCACTGGTGTGTGCTTTTTTTCCTGGATCGTGGCTGATTTGTAGATTGTACGCACAAAAAAACTCTGTATTTTCACATTTTTGCCAATTTCCCATTCATTTCCTATGGGGGTCCATTTGGACCCGAAGGTCCTGAGTGTTACTATTTTTTTTACAACCACTTAGACTATTCAAATCCTGTCCCCATTTTTTTGGGGTGTTCATATACCAAGTACCAAGAAAGTCACCAAATTTCAGACCATTCCGATGAAGCTATGATTTTTAATAGTTTTTTATTTAAATGCTTCGGGTCCATTTGGGCCGAAGGACCCCAGAGGGTTAAGATTTTTAGGGGTTCAAGTGCGTAGCTCTGAAACCCTATTGTAATTGTAAGGATTTTTATTACTAGGGCTGGGGTTCAAGCGCCTACTGCTGAAACCCTATTGAAATTAACTGAAGAAATATATATTTGCTAAACAAATTAAGCCAACTTATATGATTCATATTCTTTTAGTTTCTCTACCCAATACTCAATTTCACTTGGAGAGGAGAACTTGAGGTCTTAGGTTTAGAACTGGTATTTTCAGAGGGATGAGAGCTAGACTTCTCAGATGGGAAGGAGGGTTCCATGGGAGCACTAGGTTTCAAAGGAATAGAACTGGGCTTTGAGAAGAAAATACTCAATTTCACTGGGAGAGGATAACTTGAGGTCTCAGGTTTAGAACTGGGCTTCTCAGAGGGATGAGAGCTAGACTTCTCAGATGAAGAGGAACTGGGTTCCATGTGAGCACTTGCACGTTCAGAACTGAGTTTATCAGAAGTATGAGAGCTACACTTCTCGGATGAAGAACTAGGTTCCAAGGGAGAACTGGGTTTCTCAGGTTTGTAACATGGTCTTCAAGAAGTGAATACTTGATTTCTCAGGGAGAGGAAAACTTGGGGTTACCCGAGGCTAAGAATTGGATAGAGGACTGAACTCAAGTAAATAAAGAAACTGGTTAAAACAAACAAACAAGAGGGATCACAGAATATTATAAGCCAAAGAAAATAAATACGTTTAAGTTTACATATGAAAACTGAGGTGGTTGAGGCTTTTCTAATGTTGGCCGGGAGGCTGTTCCATAGCTAAAACCTGCCACACACTACAAGATATTCTGGGAGATTTTGGACCGATTTCTCCCTTTCTGACAGTCCTAAATCCTGATTCTTGATGGTTCTACAGATTATTTGATCAGATTTTCCTGTGGTGTGAGGTGTGTTAAGAGTGACTGAATCTGCTCGCCGAGCGCCCCGATCTCAAATACGAGATGAACATGATAAAAACATGAATTAACCACAGTCTATTTCAAAGTCATGTACACTGTTTGAATCTTCAGAGCAGATTCAGTGCTGTGACGAGCTTTAAAACCAGATTAGAATATCTCATGAATAGAGTTATGTCCAAAAAAAAAGAAAAAGAATAAAAGCCTGGAATTGAATTCAAAAGATTTTCTTTCAAATTTTAGAAAAAAACTCAATTGGAGATAGGGTGGAAATTAATCATAGAAGTGGGATCCAGATTTGCATTGTTTTCGTGATAAGATGACACCGTGGCATATTTAAGGCAATCGGGTACAGTTCCAGTGTGAAGACGTGTGTTATTAACAGACAAAAGTCCAGGACCAACAGTATCAATGATTTGTCAAAGGAATAACATCCTGAGTTTCATGTTTTGAGTTTGTTTTCAACCTGTTTTTCTGTTCTGTTCATGATTGAGTTTCATAGGCTACATTCAGACTGTCAGTCCAAATCCGATTATTTGTGTAGGCCTATCCGATTGGGATTTGATCTAAAATGATTGATGTCCACACTGTAACGCAACTGTTCATATCCCATTTGTGTCCATGCTGCTTTTACATTTTACGGAACATCTACATTGGTTTCTATGGCGTTGCCAAAAACAACAACAAAAACCACATCATGGACGGGTTTGCAATAGAGATGTTGTCTTTTTTACATTTTACAACATGGAAATATGTAGTCGCACGCTGGACTAGAGTGTCTTCTAAGGCAGCGGCAGAGACGTAACTGCTTTATTCCGAACTGTCGTCTCCGCCGGTTTCAAAACACTTCTCCTTTATATTGTCATTTCCTGCTCATCCGGGCACTTTGCAACATCACCGCGTTGTTTCTGAAGCGACTTTCAGCATGTTTTCTATAACAGCGCCTGACATTTACATGGCGTGAGAAAGTCACATAAACCACGTAAAATCCGATCAGAGCCTCCAGACTGAAACGGATTTCCATGTGGCCTTTCTCACAAGCTAAATCTGATCGGATTTCAAAAATCGTATTTGGACTGAATAGTCTGAACGTAGCCTTGACCCTAGGTTGTTAATTAGTTCTCCTCCGTTCCCTGCCTGTTTGTTTCTATGGTTTCTGATTGATTTCAGTATTCTGTTCAGGTGTGTCTTGTTAATTAACTCATCAGCTCCCTTGTTTGCCCTCATGTATTAAATCCTTCAGTTTCTGTCTGTTCAAGAGGACTTTAACATGAGTCAATAATCTGTGTAACAAATATTGTTGATTGGTTGCTGCTTTTTAAAACTTCATCTTGATTTAGATTTGCTAAGATTTTACAGCCACTCGGATAAGTTTGTATGGCTTTATAATTGTCGTATAACAAGAGGCATGTCTTTTGAGGTTAAGTTTCAGCTGTGAAGTTCAGTGAACACTAATTCTTCCCAGTTTAATTTCTTTAAAGACTATTTTGATAGGAAAAAGTGACTGCAATATTGCTAAGTGAATGATTAAGGAGTCATACTGCACAGAAGCCATTTGAAGGAATAGTTTGCCCAATATTCATAGTTTACTCGATATTTCTCTTAAAGCCTTGTGGTGTGTTCATCCATGAAACGCAAGGCCGATGGAGGGGAGGTTTTAACTGTTACTGTCAGTCACCAAAAAACACATTAAATGATAATGATCCATAAGTAGTCTGTGTTATTCATGTCTTAATTCAAAAAAGTTGTTTCGTTCTGTGTGTGTGAAAAACAGTCCAAAAATATCTTCTACACTGATATATCAAGTCACCATGGGCAAAATGTATGTTAAGTAGAATTCACACAGAATTATTCATTTACATATGATGTAGCTGCCTGATCGAAATGAGTTATTATTCATTATTTTGTTTCAGGAGTATGACTTCATGTTTGAGCTGTAACTGAAAGCAACATGCACTAATATATCTTAAAATATGTCAGTGACAATGTTTTGTTTCAAGATGCACACCAGAATTGTTTTTTTGTCTAAGGCACATTTACTGTCTATGAAACTAGGCCTGAAACTTTAGTTCATATAACATCAGCTTGTATGCTAAGTGGTTAATTAATTATTAATCTCATTAATTAGCTGATTTGCTCCAATAATGAGTTAACGAGTCATCCAGGTGCAACAAAGGGTTTTCTGTTTGGCTTTAAAAGTCCTGGTTGGTTTGAAACTTTATCTTGCATGGTTGCTTGGTTTTTTTATTGGCTTAGTTTTGTCTTGTGGTTTATAGAATGGGTTTGATTAAAATTACTGTTTTGATGGTTCTTTATCATCAATTGGTATGGCATGGTGAGTTAAATTTTTTGTTTAGTTGTTTGTGTTTTATTTAAAAGTCAATGTGTTTCTCAGTATTCAGCTCCACAGTTAAACATGGGTCCTTAGACCTTTTTGTGTTTCTTAATCTAATATGCTCTTGTACTAAAGTAATATGAGTTTATACTAATCCACTCTATTATAATCAAAATGATAAAAATGTTTCTCTATCTCTCTGTAGACAATCTGGTCGGTGTATCCTGTGCTCGTTTTGTCAATACCACCTTCAGCCAGGACGATGCTGAGGGGTCTGGTTCTGTGAACGCCACCTTCAGCCAGGACGATGCTGAGGGGTCTGGTTCTGTGAACGCCACCTTCAGCCAGGATGATTCTGAGGGGTTCGGTTCTGTGAATGCCACCTTCAGCCAGGACGATTCTGAGGGGTCCGGTTCTGTGAACGCCACCTTCAGCCAGGACGATTCTGAGGGGTCTGGTTCTGTGAACTCCACCTTCAGCCAGGACGATGCTGAGGGGTCTGGTTCTGTGAACGCCACCTTCAGCCAGGATGATTCTGAGGGGTCCGGTTCTGTGAACGCCACCTTCAGCCAGGACGATTCTGAGGGGTCTGGTTCTGTGAACTCCACCTTCAGCCAGGACGATGCTGAGGGGTCTGGTTCTGTGAACGCCACCTTCAGCCAGGATGATTCTGAGGAGTCCGGTTCTGGCAATGCCACCTTCAGCCAGGACGATTCTGAGGGGTTCGGTTCTGTGAACGCCACCTTCAGCCAAGATGATTCTGAGGAGTCCGGTTCTGGCAATGCCACCTTCAGCCAGGACGATGCTGAGGGGTCTGGTTCTGTGAACGCCACCTTCAGCCAAGATGATTCTGAGGAGTCTGGTTCTGGCAACGCCACCTTCAGCCAGGACGATTCTGAGGGGTTCGGTTCTGTGAACGCCACCTTCAGCCAGGACGATTCTGAGGGGTTCGGTTCTGTCAATGCCACCTTCAGCCAGGACGATGCTGAGGGGTCCGGTTCTGTCAATGCCACCTTCAGCCAGGACGATTCTGAGGGGTTCGGTTCTGTGAACGCCACCTTCAGCCAAGATGATTCTGAGGAGTCCGGTTCTGGCAATGCCACCTTCAGCCAGGACGATGCTGAGGGGTCTGGTTCTGTGAACGCCACCTTCAGCCAAGATGATTCTGAGGAGTCTGGTTCTGGCAACGCCACCTTCAGCCAGGACGATTCTGAGGGGTTCGGTTCTGTGAACGCCACCTTCAGCCAGGACGATTCTGAGGGGTTCGGTTCTGTCAATGCCACCTTCAGCCAGGACGATGCTGAGGGGTCCGGTTCTGTCAATGCCACCTTCAGCCAGGATGATGCTGAGGGGTCTGGTTCTGTGAACAACTTCAGCCAGGACTATACTGAGGGGTCTGGTTCTGTGAACAACTTCAGCCAGGACTATGCTGAGGGTGTCTAGTTCTGTCAACCGCTTCAGGTCCCTCTGCTTAGGGGTCTGGTTCTATTTTGGCACTTTCTATTTAACTGTTAACATAAGCCAAGATTCTGTTTAACAAAATAAAATTTGATGTCTTTGACTGGTTTTGTTTTTGTTAACTCTACCCTGCTAAATGAGCTTTAACAGCCACTTGGGTTAGTTTGTAGTGATTTTTAACACCTGGGAATTGGTGACCTGTCTTTTGAAGTTAGGTTTTTCCCAACAAATCTTGTGCTGTAAACACTTGATTCTTTCCAGTTTATTTGAAGATTAATAGGACATTGACTGCAATATTTGTATTTTAATATACTCACCTAAAGGATTATTAGGAACACCTGTTCAATTTCTCATTAATGCAATTATCTAATCAACCAATCACATGGCAGTTGCTTTAATGCATTTAGGGGTGTGGTCCTGGTCAAGACAATCTCCTGAACTCCAAACTGAATGTCAGAATGGGAAAGAAAGGTGATTTTAAGCAATTTTGAACGTGGCATGGTTGTTGGTGCTATACGGGCCGGTCTGAGTATTTCACAATCTGCTCAGTTACTGGGATTTTCACGCACAACCATTTCTAGGGTTTACAAAGAATGGTGTGAAAAGGGAAAAACATCCAGTATGCGGCAGTCCTGTGGGTGAAAATGCCTTGTTGATGCTAGCGGTCAGAGGAGAATGGTCCGACTGATTCAAGCTGATAGAAGAGCAACTTTGACTGAAATAACCGCTCGTTATAACCGAGGTATGCAGCAAAGCATTTGTGAAGCCACAACACGCACAACCTTGAGGCAGATGGGCTAGAACAGAACACCCCACCGGGTACCACTCATCTCCACTACAAATAGGAAAAAGAGGCTACAATTTGCAAGAGCTCACCAAAATGGGACAGTTGAAGACTGGAAAAATGTTGCCTGGTCTGATGAGTCTCGATGTCTGTTGAGACATTCAGATGGTAGAGTCAGAATTTGGCGTAAACAGAATGAGAACATGGATCCATCATGCCTTGTTACCACTGTGCAGGCTGATGGTGGTGGTGTAATGGTGTGGGTGATGTTTTCTTGGCACACTTAAGGCCCCCTAGTGCCAATTGGGCATTGTTTAAATGCCACGGCCTACCTGAGCATTGTTTCTGACCATGTCCATCCCTTTATGGCCACCGTGTACCCATCCTCTGATGGCTACTTCCAGCAGGATAATGTCCCATGTCACAAGGCTCGAATCATTTCAAATTGGTTTCTTGAACATGACAATGAGTTCACTGTACTAAAATGGCCCCCACAGTCACCAGATCTCAACCCAATAGAGCATCTTTGGGATGTGGTGGAACGGGAGCTTTATGCCCTGGATGTGCATCCCACAAATCTCCATCAACTGCAAGATGCTATCCTATCAATATGGGCCAACATTTCTAAAGAATGCTTTCAGCACCTTGTTGAATCAATGCCATGTAGAATTAAGGCAGTTCTGAAGGCGAAAGGGGGTCAAACTCAGTATTGGTATGGTGTTCCTAATAATCCTTTAAGTGAGCGTACTTAGGGAAACTTTGCTATATTATGGCAACGCTGTACCACAAAAAGTAGTTTTTCTAAAAAATTATGATTTTTCTATTTAATTGCACATATCTTTTAGAAATTTACAGATGTATATACTTGGAATTTTTGCAAACCAAAAATAAGTCACTGTAAAAAATGATTTTGTGGTGAAGTACTGTGTACTGTGGTGAAGTACTACTGAAAAAAAAACTATGTTATTTACATGAAAAAGTTAGTTCAGGCAATAATTAAAAAAACTAAGTGAATTCCATATCAGTACTTAATTCAAGTGAGTAGAAATGAAAGCGTAAATATCAACTTAATAAAATTAAGTAAAAATTACTCAACTTTTCTGATACTGGGGTTCCCATCATGCACTGGACCTTGAATAATTAATGAGGTTTGCATTTTCACTGGTTTCTAGCTGTATTTACACTGTTTTATCATTGCTTTTGTTGTTAGGATTATAGTAACAGGCCATTTTATGACATTTCGAGTAAATTTTCTGCTCAAAATGACACATTCAAACACAAAAACAATCCATCAAATGTTACCGTCATTGTGTATTTTCTACCAAGTATTTAGGTCTTTGCATTCACAGGTTGTTTAACATCTGACATGATGTAGTATAAATTACTTAGAAGTTCCAAGTAAAGCACATACTGGTATTTCAATATTATTATTGTTTGAGTGAAATGTAATGCAAAGGAATTTTTAACTAAATTGATATTACTCAACCTTATACTAGCCAAGTTAAAATTTCTTATTTACTTTGTTACTTTCACTTGACTAGGTTAAGTAAAGTTTACTTAATTCCATATTCCAAGTAAATTTAACTCAAATATTTCTAATTAAAGCTACTGATAAATATGTTTAGGTTTTTACTTGGCAAATCGTTGTAAATTTACTAGCATTTTCTGAGTGAAAAAAGTTAGCAAGCTTTTTTCAAGTAAATCCTACTCCAAATTTTTTTCAGTGAGATCCCTATCATTTGTCTAACTCATCCTCACTCTCATCACATGGAAGAGCTTACTCTGCACTCTTCATAATTGCCCTTTCTGTAAAATATTGCTGTATTCATTTTCTGAAAAGAAACCAATTTGTTATTTATACATAAATACAACTACTACAATAAACGCTTATAACTGCAATCATATTGTCGATGTTACTATCTATAAAAAAATCCCAATGGGGAAATTACTGCAATTCCACTGTGGTACAGCGTTGCCATATGGAAACACTGATATTTTCTCAATTTACTGTAAAAACATGTTAGACAAAGTTGATTTGTGAATAAAAAGATCTAATTTACTAATCAAAGATGCTGCAAAAAACAATATCCCCTTGAGAAGAGATGTTTAGAAATGAGGTTAATGGCTGGAGCACTTCAACATGCAGGTGCATGTCTTCTGTCTCAGGGTGATGGTGGGAAGGAGAGTTTTGGAGGGACATTTAAATGTCATTTGACCTAAAAACAGCATGTCAATATTCCTAAGTGAATGATTAAGGAGTCATACTGCCCTACAGAAGCTGTTTGAAGGAATAGTTTGCCCAACATTCATAGTTTACTCCCCATGATATTTCTCTTAAAGCATTGTGGTGTTTTCATCCATGAAACACAAGGCCGATGGAGGGGAGGTTTTAACTGTAACTGTCAGTCACCAAAAAACACATTAAATGATAATGATCCATAAGTAGTCTGTGTGATTCATGTCTTAATTAAAAAAAGTTGTTTCGTTCTGTGTGTGTGAAAAACAGTCCAAAAATATCTTCTACACTTATATATCAAGTTACCTGTACCTGTCCGAGTATAAAATTCATGTCTAAGCTTTTTTAACTAAAAGCAACTTGTGTAACAGGTATAAAAATTATATGCATTGTATGCATTGTTAAGTAGAATTCACACATAATTATTCATTTACATGTGATGTATAGCTGCCTGATCGAAATTAGTTATTATTCGTTATTTTGTATCAGGAGTATGACTTCATGTTTGAGCTGTAACTGAAAGCAACATGCACTGATATATCTTAAAATATGCCAGTGACAATGTTTTGTTTCAAGATGCACACCAGAATTGTTTTTTGTGTAAGGCACATTTACTCTCTATGAAACTAGGCCTGAAACGTTAGTTCATATAACATCAGCTTGTATGCTAAGTGATTAATTAATTATTAATCTCATTAATTAGCAGATTTGCTCCAATAATGAGTTAACGAGTCATCCAGGTGCAACAAAGGGTTTTCTGTTTGGCTTTAAAAGTCCTGGTTGGTTTGAAACTTTATCTTGCATGGTTGCTTGGTTTTTTTTAGTGGCTTAGTTTGTGATTTATAGAATGGGTTTGATTAAAATTATTGTTTTGGTGGTTCTTTATCATCAATTGGTATGGCATGGTGAGTAAAATTTTTTTGTTTAGTTGTTTGTGTTTTATTTAAAAGTCAATGTGTTTCTCAGTTTTCAGCTCCACAGTTAAACATGGGTCCTTAGACCTTTTTGTGTTTCTTAATCTAATATGCTCTTGTACTAAAGTAATATGAGTTTATACTAATCCACTCTATTATAATCAAAATGATAAAAATGTTTCTGTATCTCTCTTTAGACAATCTGGTCGGTGTATCCTGTGCTCGTTCTGTCAATACCACCTTCAGCCAGGAAGATTCTGAGGGGTCTGGTTCTGTGAACGCCACCTTCAGCCAAGATGATTCTGAGGGGTCTGGTTCTGTGAACGCCACCTTCAGCCAGGACGATGCTGAGGGGTCTGGTTCTGTGAACGCCACCTTCAGCCAGGATGATTCTGAGGGGTCTGGTTCTGTGAACGCCACCTTCAGCCAGGACGATTCTGAGGGGTCTGGTTCTGTGAACGCCACCTTCAGCCAGGACAATGCTAAGGGGTCTGGTTCTGTGAACGCCACCTTCAGCCAGGACGATTCTGAGGGGTCTGGTTCTGTGAACGCCACCTTCAGCCAGGACGATTCTGAGGGGTCTGGTTCTGTGAACGCCACCTTCAGCCAGGACGATTCTGAGGGGTCTGGTTCTGTGAACTCCACCTTCAGCCAGGACGATGCTGAGGGGTCCGGTTCTGTGAACGGCACCTTCAGCCAGGACGATGCTGAGGGGTCTGGTTCTGTGAACGCCACCTTCAGCCAGGACGATTCTGAGGGGTCCGGTTCTGTGAACGCCACCTTCAGCCAGGACGATGCTGAGGGGTCTGGTTCTGTGAATGCCACCTTCAGCCAGGACGATTCTGAGGGGTCTGGTTCTGTGAACTCCACCTTCAGCCAGGACGATGCTGAGGGGTCTGGTTCTGTGAATGCCACCTTCAGCCAGGACGATTCTGAGGGGTCCGGTTCTGTGAATGCCACCTTCAGCCAGGACGATGCTGAGGGGTCCGGTTCTGTGAACGGCACCTTCAGCCAGGACGATGCTGAGGGGTCTGGTTCTGTGAACGCCACCTTCAGCCAGGACGATGCTGAGGGGTCTGGTTCTGTGAATGCCACCTTCAGCCAGGACGATGCTGAGGGGTCTGGTTCTGTGAACGCCACCTTCAGCCAGGACGATGCTGAGGGGTCTGGTTCTGTGAATGCCACCTTCAGCCAGGACGATGCTGAGGGGTCTGGTTCTGTGAACGCCACCTTCAGCCAGGACGATGCTGAGGGGTCTGGTTCTGTGAATGCCACCTTCAGCCAGGACGATGCTGAGGGGTCTGGTTCTGTGAACGCCACCTTCAGCCAGGACGATGCTGAGGGGTCTGGTTCTGTGAATGCCACCTTCAGCCAGGACGATGCTGAGGGGTCTGGTTCTGTGAACGCCACCTTCAGCCAGGACGATGCTGAGGGGTCTGGTTCTGTGAATGCCACCTTCAGCCAGGACGATGCTGAGGGGTCTGGTTCTGTGAACGCCACCTTCAGCCAGGACGATGCTGAGGGGTCTGGTTCTGTGAATGCCACCTTCAGCCAGGACGATGCTGAGGGGTCTGGTTCTGTGAACGCCACCTTCAGCCAGGACGATGCTGAGGGGTCTGGTTCTGTGAATGCCACCTTCAGCCAGGACGATGCTGAGGGGTCTGGTTCTGTGAACGCCACCTTCAGCCAGGACGATTCTGAGGGGTTCGGTTCTGTGAACGCCACCTTCAGCCAGGACGATTCTGAGGGGTTCGGTTCTGTGAACGCCACCTTCAGCCAGGACGATTCTGAGGGGTTTGGTTCTGTGAACGCCACCTTCAGCCAGGACGATGCTAAGGGGTCTGGTTCTGTGAACGCCACCTTCAGCCAGGATGATTCTGAGGGGTCCGGTTCTGTGAACGCCACCTTCAGCCAGGATGATTCTGAGGGGTCCGGTTCTGTGAACGCCACCTTCAGCCAGGATGATTCTGAGGGGTTCGGTTCTGTGAACGCCACCTTCAGCCAGGATGATTCTGAGGGGTTCGGTTCTGTGAACGCCACCTTCAGCCAGGACGATTCTGAGGGGTCTGGTTCTGTGAACGCCACCTTCAGCCAGGACGATGCTGTGGGGTCCAATTTTATCAACGCCACCTTCAGCCAGGACGATGCTGTGAGGTCCAATTTTGTCAACGCCACCTTCAGCCAGGACGATGCTGAGGGGGTCTAGTTCTGTCAACAGCTTCAGGTCCCTCTGCTTAGGGGTCTGGTTCCATTTTGGCCCTTTCTATTTAACTGTTAACATAAGCCAAGATTCTGTGAAACAAAATAAATTTTTTTCTTTGAATGGTTTGGTTTTTGTTAACTCTACTTTGCTTAATGAGCTGTAACAGCCACTTGGGTTATTTTTTATTTTTTAAAACACCTGCACTGGTGACCTGTCTTTTGAAGTTAGGTTTTTCCCAACAAATCTTGTGCTGTGAACACTTGATTCTTTCTAGTTTAATTTATTTGAATACTAATAGGACATTGACTGCTATATTTGTATTGTAATATACTTAGGGGAAACGTTGCTATATAATGGCAACGATGTACCACAATGGCAAATGGTCAAAGTAGTTTTTCTATAAAATGATGATTTTTTTTATTTAATTGCACAGCTCTTTTAGAAATTGATAGGTTTATATACTTGGAACTTATGCAAACCAAAAATAAGTAGATCCCTATCATTTGGCTAACTCATCCTCACTCTCATCACATGGAAGAGCTTACTCTGCACTCTTCATAATGCCCTTTCTGTAAAATATTGCTGTATTCATTTTCTGAAAAGAAACCAATTTGTTATTTATACATAAATACAACTATTACAATAAACACTTATAATAGCAATAAATAACTGCAGTCATATTGTTGATGTTACTATCTATAAAAAAATCCCAATGGGGAAATGCATTACTGCAATTCCACTGTGGTACAGCATTGCCATATGGCAACATAACTATTTTTCCAGAGTTGCCACTGATATTTTCTTAATTTACAGTAAAAACATTAGACAAAGATGATTTTTGAATGATAATTTACTTATCAAAGATGCTGCAAAAAACAATACCCCTTGAGAAGAGATTTTTAGAAATGAGGTTAACATTTTCTGGAGCACTTCAACAGGTGTCTTCTGTCTGATAGGGGGAAAGAGAGTTTTGGAGGGACATTTAAATGTCATTTGACTTTTATATACATTTTTTCATATAAATTTTTTATCTTACAGTTACTGTAAATTCGGCCTCTACTTCATAAATGCCAGAGGAGAACTGGCCCCGATTGAGCCTGGGTTCTCCCAAGGTTTTTTTTTTTTCTCCATTTGGTCATCTGATGGAGTTTTAGGACACCATCGGGTCAGTTGATGGAGTTTTTCGGTTCCTTGCCACTGTTGCCTTTGGCTTGCTCAGTTGGGGATCTTCAAATTAAATGACCCATCATACCACTGATCAGCTCTACCAAACTTGGATGTCTTTTTCCAGTAATAAACAAACACTGTTAAGTTTTAATTGATACTGTGAAGCAGCTTTGATACAATCTGTATTGTGAAAAGCGCTATATAAATATATGTGTTTATATACTTAAAAACTTAAAAACAGCACATCATTGGCTGCCATTTTAATTCCCATAGTGCAATATATTGTATTTTTTTACAAGGAATTACAAGGAAATTATTAGAAACGAATTACGCTAGGCAAGGCAAGGCAAGTTTATTTATATAGCACATTTCATACACAATGGTAATTCAAAGTGCTTTACATAGGGGGAAATAATTAAAACAGTTTAGAATAAAAAATAAAATAAAGTACAGTAAAAACAGTCGGACGAACAGTGGCACAGTGCTCATTCAGTAAATGCATAGCTAAACAGATGTGGGTAACACTTTATTTTAAGGTGCTTGTAATAAGCAGTAATTAACAGTTAATAAGACACTTATAAGACCCCATAAGATGCATATAAGATGCATATAAGCATTAACTACTTCATATAAGGGTTAATTAAAGCACAAGACGAACCCGGAGAGGCAACTGAGCGGCCCCGGAGTGGTCATGACCCAGCTGGACCCCAGGGGATGGAGTCTACACTCACCCTGGCTGTGACTGTCGTGAGGCTCGTCGGCGGCACGATTGAGTAGAGCGGGAAAAGTGAAACAAAGCGTCCTCAGAAGTTATATGAAGTAGTTAATGCTTATATGCATCTTATATGCATCTTACATGCATCTTATAAGGTCTTATAAGTGTCTTATTAACTGTTAATTACTGCTTATTACAAGCACCTTAAAATAAAGTGTTACCCAGATGTGTTTTGAGTCTGGATTTGAATGTGACTACTGTAGGAGCACATCTGATCTCCTCTGGAAGCTGGTTCCAGCTGCGGCTGGCATAATAGCTAAAAGCAGACTCTCCTTGCTTAGAGTGAACCCTTGGTATTTCTAACTGATGTGATCCTAATGATCTGAGTGATCTGTTGGGTTTATATTCAGTGAGCATATCTGCAATATATTGAGGTCCTAGCCCATTGAATGATTTATATACCAGTAATAATACTTTAAAATCAATCCTAAATGTAACTGGGAGCCAGTGTAAAGACCTGAGGACTGGTGTGATGTGTTCATATTTTCTGGTTTTGCTCAGGATCCTGGCAGCAGCGTTCTGTATGAGCTGCAACTGTCTTATGGTCTTTTTAGGAAGGCCAGTGAGGAGTCCATTACAATAATCCACCCTGCTGGTGATAAAAGCATGCACAAGTTTCTCTAAGTCTTGACTGGAAACAAAGCATCTAATTCTTGCAATATTTTTCAAATGATAGTATGCTGATTTAGTTATTGCTTTGACATGACTACTGAAACTAAGGTCTGACTCTAGAGACACACCAAGATTCCTGACTTGATTTTTAGTTGTTAGACCCCTAGCGTCAAGGTATGCATTTACCTTGAGAACTTCATATTTGTTTCCAAATGCAATGACTTCAGTTTTGTCTTTGTTTAACTGAAGAAAGTTTTGGCACATCCAACCGTTTACTTCATCAATGCATTGGCACAGGGAGTCAATGGGGCTGTAGTCGTTAGACGATAGGGCTAAGTAGAGCTGTGTGTCGTCTGCATAGCTGTGGTAAGAGATTCGGTTCTTTCTCATTATTTGGCTCATTGGGAGCATGTACAGGTTGAATAGGAGTGGTGCAAGAATTGAGCCTTGAGGGACTCCGCATGTCATGGGTGTCCACTCAGACTTATGGTCTCCTATACTCACATAATAACCTCTCCCTTCTAAGTATGACCTGAACCATTTTAGGACTATCCCAGAAAGCCCCACCCAGTTTTCCAGCCTGTCAAGAAGTATGTTGTGATCGACAGTGTCAAATGCACCACTGAGGTCGAGTAGTACCAGCACTGATAATTTGCCTGTATCAGTATTTAAGCGAATATCGTTTATTATCTTTATGAGAGCTGTCTCTGTGCTGTGATGCGATCTGAAACCAGATTGAAAATGGTCAAAGTATCCATTCAAGCTTAGGAATTTGTTCAGCTGATTGAAGACAACTTTTTCAATGATCTTGCCTATGAAAGGAAGATTTGAGATCGGTCTATAATTGCTTAAGATGGTCTTATCCAGATTGCTCTTTTTCAGGAGGGGCTTGACAACTGCAGTTTTCAGGGAGTTTGGAAAACTCCCAGAAAGAAGTGAGGCCTTTACCACTTCTAGGAGATCTGCTTCTAAGCTGTTTAACACACTTTTGAAAAAAGATGTGGGAAGTGTGTCAAGGGCGCAGGTTGATGTTTTAAGGTGCTGTACGGTTTCTTCCAAAATTTTGCCATCAATTTCTTCGAAAACAGACATAGTAACTACTTTCTCAGGTAGTGGTCTGATCTGTTTGACCCCAGCGCAACTCAAGGATGAGCTGATCACCTTTCTGATATTATTGATTTTCTCAGAGAAGAAAGAAGCAAACTCACTGCACTTGATGTCTGAGAGCATTTCACTGGGAATCTGGCTTGGGGGGTTTGTCAGTCTCTCTACAGTAGCAAAAAGAGTGCGTGTGTTGTTTAAGTTGCTGTTTATAATATTCGAGAAGAAAGTCTGTCTAGCTTTGCCTAGTTCCATATTGAAAATCCATGCTTTCAATATGGAACTAGGCAAAGCTAGACAGACTTTCTTCTCGAATGTCTTTGTAGATGTTATAATGGACTACAAGTTTTGTCTTCCGCCACATGCGCTCTACTCTTCTGCATTGTCTTTTCATGTTTTGCACTGCTGTTGAGTTTCTCCAAGGTGCTTTTTGTCTACCACTCTTCCTGACTTTCACAGGAGCAATATCATCAATTACACTTTTGATTTTTGAGTTAAAAGATTCAAGGAGAAAATCAACAGAGTCAGCAGATATGCTTGGTTTTAAAGATATAGCCTTCATAAATAGCACACTAATGTTCTCATTTAAGCATCTCTTCTTGACAGACACAGATCTAGCTTCAATGGCAGGAGAGATCAGTATATCAAAGAAAATACAGAAATGATCAGACAGTGCTACATCCTTGATAACAATCGATGAGATGTTTAGACCCTTACTGATAAGTAAATCTAGAGTGTGTCCACGATTATGTGTGGGTTCATGTACATGCTGAGTCAGATCAAAAGTTTTGAAAACAGTTTTGATTTCTTTTGCCATATTTGTTTCTGCATTATCTATGTGAATGTTAAAATCTCCAGCAATGGCAAAACAGTCAAACTCAGAGGAAATTGTTGATAACAGTTCTGTAAAGTCCTCAGCAAAGGCTGGAGAGTATTTTGGAGGCCTGTAAATAATGATAAGTAAAATACGTGGAGCACCTTTTAAAACAATACCCAGATATTCGAAAGACGGGTAATTCCCAAATGATATTTGCTTACATTGATAGACATCTTTAAAAAGAGCAGCTAAGCCCCCGCCTCTCTTTCCCGCTCTGCAAACACTCATAAAAGTAAAGTTAGGAGGGGATGTTTCATTGAGGACTGCTGCACTGCAGCTGTCTTCTAGCCAAGTTTCATTTAGAAACATAAAGTCCAGGTTGTATGTGGTTATTAAGTCGTTGACTAGAAGTGATTTATTTTTAAGTGAGCGGATGTTTAAAAGTGCTAACTTAACAATCTTACTTTTTGTCCCCACAGCGATCTTAGTTTGCCGTGTGATAGGCACCAGATTAGATGGGTTTGCTGTGTGGCTTTTGAAGGCCTTAGATTTTCTATCATGTAATTGAACAGCAATAGAGAAAGATACAGGCACACTGGGTTCCCGCTTGTTTTGTAAACATTTAAGAAAGTTACTGTTATCATAGCGGGGACCCGACATATATCACAGAGAGTTGGTGTCAGTTGTTTTTGGTTCACCGCGAGCCGCTGAAGGATGGTGTGGGCCCTGGCGCTGTGGCAGTGGCCGAAGAGCTCTCACAGGAGGAGGAGGAGGGCGAGCTAGGCCCGCAGGCTTTGGTGGTTGTGGGGCCTGCCATTTTTTGGTTGACATCTGGGGGCTTGCAGCAAAAGAGTGGGATAGTTTGGTTCCAGCATACACCAGTTTTTCCATTTTCTCTGAGAAGCACAGAAGTGGAGTTGCTGGAGAGAGGGATAACGTGTCTGGTGAGAGGGGCTGTTGTTCTGGTGTTATCGGAGGCTGTAATATGCTGTCCTGTATTCCCTGGCTGTTTTCCAGAAAGTCGTCCTTGGGTGCTGAATCTTCTAGCAGTTCTAGTATGTCACAGTCTGTCTGTGGTGAGCTCTGTGGGCAGGGCTCAGCTGAGATTGTGTCCGTGAGCAGAGGTTGTTGTGGCTGAGTGGTGTTATCATTGTCCTTGTGTGATGTGTCGGCCGCATGTCCATTCAGGTGCATAAGTGAAGTCCTGTGGTCATTCATACTGTGTCCAGGTGTGTGTGTGCCATTCAGGTTGAGTGGATTGGCACACACTGCAGAAGGATGATGGAGGGAGAAGTAGATATTGTCCTTTAGCACTCTTGAGCCAAGTTTGTTTGGGTGGTGGCCATCCTGTTGAAACAGTTGCCTCTGACTCCAGAAAAGATTGAAGTTGTCAATGAAGTTCACTCCTTTTATATTGCAGGTTTTTTGCAGCCATGTGTTAAGCCCAAGCAACCGTGAAAACCTGTTTGTTCCTCTTGCTGGGAGTGGTCCACTGATGAATGTCTGAACTTTCAGTCTTTTAAGTGTTTCAAAAAGTTCCTTGAAATCCTTCTTAAGGAGTTCTGACTGCTCTTTATGAATATCATTCTTCCCCACATGAACAATGAGTCGATTTGCAGTCTTATGTTTCATCAGAATGTTCTGAAGTTCCTTGTTTACATCAGAAGTCGTTGCTTGTGGAAGGCAGCATGTAGTTGTGTCCCTGCTAATAATGTTTCTGATTATCGAGTCACCCACTATCAGAGTCCTGGGCTCGGCTGCGCTCTGAGCTGAGTGCCGCTGTCTGCTCGACCTTGAGCGCCAGTTAGCATTAGTGTTAGCTACTGGCTTATTCATTCTGTGTTCGATCACATTCATTACATTCAGGGATTCCTCATTCATTAATACTTCAAATCTGTTCTCAAGATGTATAGGCGGTGGTAGGAGACCAGTGTTTGCAATCCTTGTCAGAGCCGTATCTGGGGTAGAGGATGCTACTGCGGCAATGTGTGATGCTCGTGACAATCTGATGTCTCGAGTGCCTTTGGGTCTCGCTCCCTGTTTGTGCCATCGATTTGTAAGTCGATCGGCTTGTTTCTCTACACTCAGTATAGCCTGTCGAGGAGCACTAGATTCATGGGACTCACCGGCTGTATTCTGAGGGCGTCAATGATGAAGCTCTGTTGTGTGTTCCGTCTGGTTTGGTGGTCCCACAAGTAACTTTGTTTCAAGAACTGCAATCCTTTGTAAAAGTCTCTGGCAGTTAGTGCAGCAAGTAGATTCCAGAAGAGGCATTTTCTCTTATCCTTATGAATGTAGGTGTGGTGAGCAGGACGGCCGAGGGACGTGAGAGAACGTCGCGAGGCCGGTGGTGCGATTGCTAATGAGCAGCACCTGTGAAGCACACCGGTCTCGCATCTCTCACGGAGGAGCGGAAGCATAAAGGAGGAGCGATGGAGTGGATGATGGAGAGAGGAACAGGCCTGCTTTTGTTTGTGTTTTGTTTTATTTTATTTTGGTAGCCAGCAGTCGTCCGTGAGGGGCTGCTGGCAGGTAGTTATATTTTATTTTGGGTAGCCAGCAGTTCCGTGAGGGACTGCTGGCAGGTATTGTGTTTATTTAATTTAAAATAAAGTTTTATTTTGATTGTTCTCCGGTTCCCGCCTCCTTCTTCCCTGAACCTTGCTACACTGGTGCCGAAACCCGGGAAGAGGGAGGAACGCGCTGTCCGAGGGTCCTCGCCGCTGTGGGGAATCTGCGGTGCCATCGAGCATGGTGCGCGAGTCGCCGCCGCGGACCGGAGCCTGCTGCCGTCCGCCGTAGAAGGGGAGGAGCAGGGAGCGGGGGACTCGCAGCCATGGACGCTCGAGGCGGTGCGCTGGGGTGAGTTGCCGGTGGGACGCCCGAGCTCGCCGCCGACCGCCTGGGAATGGAGGGGCGGCTGCCTTCCGGGAGGGAGAGGAGGAGTCACCGCCGCTTGCCGTGGGCCGGAGCCTGCTGCCATCCGCCAGTGAAGGGGAGGAGCAGGGAGCGGGGGACTCCTGCCGTCTGCCCAAGGCACCCGAGGAGCCGTCGCCGTCCACCGGGGGCGGGGCAGCGTCGAGGCGTCCAACGAGGGCCATCCAGCGTCGCCGCCGGGCACCGCGGAGGAGATCGCCCAGCTGGTGAGGGACAAGATGGCAGCGCGTTGTGGGAGCCGGACCAATTTTTTTTTCTTTCCTCTCTCCCCTCTCTCGTGTCCGTCGCTCCTCGTGCTTCCGTCTCCGTTTCCCTCGGCTCGTCGGTCCATATCCCCCAGGGATCGCCGCCGGGGGGAGGGAGTAGGCACAGCCCGGGTGTACCCCCCGGCCTGTGAGGGGTGATGGGGGTATGTGGTGAGCAGGACGGCCGAGGGACGTGAGAGAACGTCGCGAGGCCGGTGGTGCGATTGCTAATGAGCAGCACCTGTGAAGCACACCGGTCTCGCATCTCTCACGGAGGAGCGGAAGCATAATGGAGGAGCGACGGAGTGGATGATGGAGAGAGGAACAGGCCTGCTTTTGTTTGTGTTTTGTTTTATTTTATTTTGGTAGCCAGCAGTCGTCCGTGAGGGGCTGCTGGCAGGTAGTTATATTTTATTTTGGGTAGCCAGCAGTTCCGTGAGGGACTGCTGGCAGGTATTGTGTTTATTTCATTTAAAATAAAGTTTTATTTTGATTGTTCTCCGGTTCCCGCCTCCTTCTTCCCTGAACCTTGCTACAGTAGGGAGTTGTGTTTTCTCTTCCCCGGAATGTAAGCTTTCAGTGGGAGGCTGGTCGGAGAAAAGAATTCTGCTTTTTTCTAGTAATCAAGCATTTGAGCACTGTACTGATTTGCTGAAGTTAAAACTAGGTGATAAAAGGAAATAAAATATAAAAATATAAACGATAGAGCAATAAAAAAATATAAAAGCGATAGAGCAAAGCGCGGAGCAGTAAGCAAGAGCGTCCGAACAGTAGCTGACCATAAAGGGTTAAAAATCTAACACACTCTTGTTGTAATAAGTTGCATAACTAACCCATTTTATTTCTATTGAATGTGTTATTATTTTCCTTCTCTGTCTCTTTCCGTGCAGATAATCTGTTGAACGGCCAGAATTATTTCGTTGGTGCATCCAGGTCTGTCCACCTCCAGAGAGAATTCAGCAGGATACCCCTGAGGGGTCCGGTTCTGAGAACACCAGTCAGGACGCCTCTGAGGGCTCAGGTTCAGAATCAGGTTTTTGAAGTTTACACGGAGGTGATAACTGTATCGTTTTTAAAAACTTGCACTTTGAAACCTATTTCAAATATTGTATTCTCAGGCCATCAAAACACCATTGTCGTGTAAATGAACGGCCGGAACGCATAAAAAGTCATGTAAATGGGCCCTAAATTAAGAACTAAGATTATAACAACGGAAATAAATCAATCTTGAACTTACTTAAACTGGACAATGACTTTCTTGTAGAGCTGCTCTAAAGCCAAAACAATCTTTGTTACATTAATATCCAGTTGTTACTATAAAGATGCTTTGAAACAATCTGTATTGTTGAAAGCGCTATATAAATAAAGGTGACATGACCCCCCAATGTCTGTGGTGGAAAAATGGCAAAAAAAAAAGCATGGCAAATCCCACCTGCTCTTTACTATGTTTACTTAAGTATCATGCTGTCACTGTTGACCTTGGGGAGGATTTGACTGCAGATAACTGAGCTTATATCTAAAATCACATGATCCGGTTTACTATTGCTCAACATAAATCAAAGTGTTCCTTCGCTCGGCAGAGAGACAGTACTTTTACTTAAAGATGAGGTCAAGCCCATTGAGGATAGCTTCCTTGCTCCAGAATGTGATGAAAATGCAAATCTCAGCTTTTAATTATGTATAATGGTAACATATTTAAAACTAGCATATTTGACATAGTATCCTCAATTCATACATGAAACGAATCCCCAAATGAGACTTTCATAAACTTTTCAAAATAATATATTTAGCATAGCCAAATTCAGTGCATAATAAAGTACAGAAAATAAAGCTTCTGTAGCATAGCATGTTCTAAAATAATGAGCACCTTCACATGACATCATCAGAAGATAATTACTCTATGGGCCCTGTTTATTTTTGAAGTGCTCGTTTGCAGGGACGTGCACAGGGGGGTTGCTCAGGTTGCCCGGGCAACTGCCCACATGCCCTTCTCGGCTCAGGTTGCCCTTTTATTTAAAAAAATAAAAATCGCAAAGCCTCATTCACTTCCATTCGGACACCGAAAGTGAAAGTCAGTAAGGGAAGGGCAAACTGTTTACGTAACTGCAGCGCTACACGCCACCGGTGCATATTCTGCGTAAGGCCCCGCAAATTACTTAAGGCCCGCCTCAATCTCGTTTCATGGCGGGTCAATTAATGTGTACAACATCCATGACAAAATGAAGCGAAACTATCCTTCTGGTCACGAAAAGAGGAAGAAGAAAAAAACCATGAGAGTGAATTGCGGGAACAACAATCAGGTAAACTTTTGTTCTCTCCTCTCTAAGTTTGATGTCAGCAAAGTTTGATGTTTTTCGGTCTTGCTAACCTATAGCTGGGCAGGCAGTGCATCTCTTGCATCACTTTGTGCCTGACAAAAGTGAGAGTAAAATACGTAAAATAAAAATTATTTACGTTTATTTTTGATAAACGACAAAGTGCAACGGTGTTTGTTTCCTGCAGCTCGGAAAACATATCCGCGTCGCCGCGTTCATATCGTGCGTTCGTATGCGCGTGCACGAAATGAAACTCGCATTTTTCAAGCAGAAATATGTGGAGACCAGACATACTGTACAATACATGAACGTGATGGCACTCCCAATCAAAGTTCACATTATAAAACAAGACACTGATTATCTAGTCTCAGTGTAGTTAAAAACTCTAAACAACTGCACTAATTATGCAAGATAGACAGCAATGTATTGACAATTTAACATTGATTGACTATTGATTTATAGGCTATATTAAAAGAAAAATATTGAATACTGGTCAATATGGATGCACATCCCTCAGTAAATAATAACCATAAATCAAGAATTGCTTCAACATGCACAATAATAATAAAAAAGAAATTCACTTGTTATGTTAACATTCTATAGAAAATACTCTATTCAATAAATATTGTTTGTTTGAACCTCATTCTGTTCTATATTGTTGTACTTATTCTTTGACTGTTTTGTTTAAAGGAGGGAGGATTGTATTGGGAGCACTGAAGTGTCAGGTGTGACTGTGGCAATGGCAAATGGTTTACATAGCTCACGGCGTCACAGGTCAGGTAGAGGGCCCCTTAGCAGAATTTTGGGGGTGCCCTTTTTTCAGGTCAGAGCAACTGCCCCTCAAAATTCCTGTGCACGTCCCTGCTCGTTTGTGTATTCTACGAGTATTGTGTATTGTACTTGTTGCGTTAACCCACCAAACAAAACCTAAAGTTACTGGTTTATTTTTTACGTTTTGCTGCAGGGATAAAACTAACTCACACCATTCTCAGGAACTACAACCGGCTGTGCTGAAATGGTATAGTTTTATCCTGACAAGCCCTTCTAGAATGACAATTAGATGTAGTGAGCTGATATTTGACTCTTTGAGCTGTCAGATTGTGGAGTACAATGATCTTTTCTAGAGTCTGAGGCTACAGGATGATTCTCACACCAGTGTCATCATATTCCGCGGCGCTACGGGAAGACATTCCTTTATCTTCCTCCTAGCCAAGGCGAATTCAAACCCTACATTTTAAACCGAGCCATTCATCATACAACTCCGTCACAAAGAACTTCCAGACCCTGGAGAACAAAGGATTCATATTCCATGCAATGCACCGATGGCAACCTTTGATGTTAATGTCGCCTCATAGATGAATTGCTCCAGCCCTCTGTGAGAGTTATTCCCTACTGTTTTTTTTAAAGACTTTTAAAATGAGCCACATCCACAAACGTATTACTTTTTATTTAAATCGTCCCATAAAGCTAATTTTTTTAAAGTAGCTTTTATCTGATTATTTAGAAATTATTACACTCACCGGCCACTTTATTAGGTACACCTGTCCAACTGCTCGTTAACACTTAATTTCTAAGCAGCCAATCACATGGCGGCAACTCAGTGCATTTAGGCATGTAGATATGGTCAAGACAATCTCCTGCAGTTCAAACCGAGCATCAGTATGGGGAAGAAAGTTGATTTGAGTGACTTTGAACGTGGCATGATTGTTGGTGCCAGAAGGGCTGGTCTGAGTATTTCAGAAACTGCTAATCTACTGGGATTTTCACGCACAACCATCTCTAGGGTTTACAGAGAATGGTCCGAAAAAGAAAAAACATCCAGTGAGCGGCAGTTCTGTGGGCGGAAATGCCTTGTTGATGCCAGAGGTCAGAGGAGAATGGCCAGACTGGTTCGAGCTGATAGAAGGGCAACAGTGACTGAAATAACCACTCGTTACAACCGAGGTATGCAGCAAAGCATTTGTGAAGCAACAACACGCACAACCTTGAGGCGGATGGGCTACAACAGCAGAAGACTCCACCGGGTACCACTCATCTCCACTACAAATAGGAAAAAGAGGCTACAATTTGCAAGAGCTCACCAAAATTGAACAGTTGAAGACTGGAAAAATGTTGCCTGGTCTGATGAGTCTCGATTTCTGTTGAGACATTCAGATGTTAGAGTCAGAATTTGGCGTAAACAGAATGAGAACATGGAACCATCATGCCTTGTTACCACTGTGCAGGCTGGTGGTGGTGGTGTAATGGTGTGGGGGATGTTTTCCTGGCACACTTTAGGCCCCTTAGTGCCAATTGGGCATCGTTTAAATGCCACGGCCTACCTGAGCATTGTTTCTGACCATGTCCATCCCTTTATGGCCACCATGTACCCATCCTCTGATGGCTACTTCCACCATGTCACAAAGCTCTAATCATTTCAAATTGGTTTCTTGAACATGACAATGAGTTCACTGTACTAAAATGGCCTCCACAGTCACCAGATCTCAACCCAATAGAGCATCTTTGGGATGTGGTGGAACGGGAGATTCGCATCATGGATGTGCAGCCGACAAATCTGCGGCAACTGTGTGATGCCATCATGTCAATATGGACCAAACTCCCTGAGGAATGCTTCCAGCACGTTGAATCTATGCCACGAAGAATTGAGGCAGTTCTGAAGGCAAAAGGGGGTCCAACCCGTTACTAGCATGGGTTACCTAATAAAGTGGCCGGTGAGTGTATATACTTGTTGAACTTTTGATATTATGCTTTTATTTGGTATTTTTTCACTTTCATTAATGCATTGTTTGTATAATTATATGTTTTATTGGATCTTATTCTTGTGAAGCGCTTTGAGATGCTACTTTGAAAGGCGCTATATAGAAAATAATGTTTATTATTATTATTAATTGGTCAACTTTTTGCAATATTTCATCCTTAGAGTCATCAAATATTGGTATTCAGCAGCAGTATCTCAGAAAAGAACATGAGCACATGTAGCAGCGGCTCCACTGAACTGATTGTCCACATCTTGGAAGTCAACAAAGGAGCACAAAGCCTGGAACATCCACTGTAAGAACCACAAGCAGATGATAACATGGACAGTTGCTGTCATCTCTCTTTGACTGTCGTCATGGAAACTGATCAACCAGGTATCAGAGACCAGGTGAATTGTCTGCTTGCCTCCAGCAAGCCATCTGAGAAATTACAAAACAGAGCGGAACAGATGTTTTACAATCATCCTTCTCTGACAAACGCTCTAGTTAGAAATCAAAAGATAATCAATTATTAGAAGCAGACTTTGCTTGAGCTGAATACTTTTTTGCTGGAATGTTAAAATAAATGGATACAGTAACAAGAAATTAATGAATAAAAAAAAAAGGTTTCTCATTGTTGATTCTTTCTTGTATGTATTATCATAAAATTGGTTTGTCTTTTAGAAGAACAGAAAATTAAATAAATTTGATGCGCAATGGTGTGACATCACGAAAAAAATAACAGTATGGGTCTGAAACAACACGGTGAGTAAAAAATGACAGAACTTTCTTGTTTTGTTGCATAAAATATTCCTTTAACAAGACAACATCTTTGTTTCTGTTGTCAATTTTGTTGATTGCAAAAGAATGTGCTTTCTGTCCACAATAAATGTTAAACTGTTAATTGTGTGCAGTGATTTACTTTCTTTATTAGCCATTTTCTAGAAACTCTGTTCTAGTGGATACATGCATGAAAACGGAAAAACAATTGCGCTAAATACACCATTTAACATTAATTTATTAAAGCAAGTCACTCAGTCTCAAGGACTTTCTGGCTTCTGTGCACAAAGAAGAAATGGGAAAAATGTGCATTTGAATGACTCATCAAACTCGTTTAAGGTGAGAGAGAGAGAGAGAGAGAGAGAGAGAGAGAGAGAGAGAGAGAGAGAGAGAGAGAGAGAGAGAGAGAGAGAGAGAGAGAGAGAGAGAGAGAGAGAGAGAGAGAGAGAGAATTCTTTGAGAGACTAAACAGAATGTCTCACAGAACCATTTGATGGGGGGAGAAATGTGCAACTTTGGAGAGAAATGCAGATGAATCAGTTTTCAGGCTGCTTTATGAAGGGGTCAGGGTGTATTAATTAAATTCACATATAGGACCAGGTCGGTTTTCATCGCAGATGGGGGAGATATTTCTATACTCTCCGTTTCTTCAAATAATAATAATAATAATAAAAAAAACAGACAAGGCTGAAGTCTCAATTTATGCAAAAATATTCCATTATAGAAAGAAGCTACCCAGGCCATGCCATAGGCTTCCTCAGCTTCAAAGAGCAGCCACAGTGAGACTGTACTTTGCGGGGAGTGCAAAGACCCATTACATTACATGCTAGCAGTGGGTGCCTTTAGATTACCCCAGCTTGTGAAGGAATTAGGATACTGATAAAACTGCTAGCAATGCGGGCAGGGACACACACACTGTCGTCTGTTCTCTTTTATCTATTGTACTCTCTTACGTAATGCCTGGGTGACGGTTTTTACTCACGGGTTAGTCTGAGCTGAAACAAAACAGCCAGTGAGTAAAAGATGCAGCTTCACTTCATTCCTGACATAGGAATGATGACGCCATTATCGCTCAAGATATTTATGGTAACTATACAGCCTAATGCTTAGGACAGGGGCTGGGGACATGTTTACCCTAAATAAATGAGGTGAAGTACAAGTTTTATCTCCCATAAATTATTGGAATTATAATGCTTACGTGCCTCAATGCAAATACATTGATTAAAAATTAGACTATTCGTTTTCTGGCAGGTCATTTCTAAATAACATCATGTTTTGGTGTCCTCAGCTGAATTGGCTCACATCAGAAATTCTCAACTGGAGGGTTTTTTCTGAAAAAAAAAAAAAAAATCTAATAATAAAGCGCAACTAAGCATGTAGCCATGCAACAGGCTCATTAGACTTGTAATTAGTAGAAAAGATTTAGTTATGTTTTATAATGTATAATATATCAAAATTAGTGTTTTTATATTTAATATTATAGCATTTAATATTATATAACTAATATTTGATACAGGATACATTTATCAGACTTTGTAAAGTAAAATCTGTTTTCTGAAAAAAAAAACCACTGTCTCATATGATGTTTCACATTATGCCAAATACATTTGAATAATAATTATTATTATTTATATAGTAATATTGAATTATGAATAATTTTGTGTCGGTATTCATTTCATTTTAACTAGTATAAAACTATTTTTAGAAAGTTTAGAGTTCAAACTGCGTAGTTGTCATAATGACGTAGTGAGGGACGCAAGAGTAAGAGCGCAGCTGCACTTCAGGAGGGGAGGAACTACAAGCAGACAATATTAAACGTGCGCACAATCCTTTTGACTGCAAATGTTTGATAGAAACAACATTAATATCTATTAAGTGGATGGTTGCATGTGTTCTGTCCATAATAGACGCATAGACGACAAATAATTTTACCGTAAACATAAGAGAAATATAAAATGGCTAGCAGGTGAGTCGTGTTGATTTCACACTTACAGCGATTTTTTTCAAGCAAGACAAAAAGAAAATAGCTGTGTAAAGTTGGGTGCGGCTTGCAACGAGTATTTAACTCGTCGCGTTAGGTTCATTTAGTTTATCAGCAGACTTTGGGAAGGATATTCTAAAGCGAAAATATTTCCTGCATAGTTGCGTCTTTCAAAATCCTAGCGCGCATGCGCTAGACATGCAAAGCTTCCTGGGATGTGTAGTTTTTGCCATTGAAGCTTGATACTACAAAGAGTAAATCAAATACGAGGTATGCATATTAGTTACTACAATATTGTTCTTGCCATAATCATACATTTTTATATGAATGACAACTATAAAAACAAAGCAACATGCTACAGAATCCTTACAGAAAGAGAATCCCACACATTAAGTGATTTGCACTAATGTTTTTTTTTTTTTTTATGTTTCAAGCTGAAATTTAACATGCTTTCAAAAAAAGAAGATTCAGGAGGAAAGAAAGGGTAGGTATTGTTTTAAAAAAAAGTACACATCTGACAATGTGTGTGCTGTCATTTTCTACTGCACATTTGTAATGCAATATAAAGGATAATGTACATTCAGATGGTCATTATTGTAAAATTAACCCTGACGCTCACATGAGCACGATTATTTAGATCACATATTCGTCTTTTCACAGCTCCCACCAAACTGAACTTTACACAGAGGTCCCTGCGACATGCCTGCCTATTGTCTATTCCCCTGAGTACAACATCACCTTCATGGGACTGGAAAAGCTGCATCCCTTTGACGCAGGCAAATGGGGCAAGGTCATTCGCTTCTTGAAAGGTGTGTAGCACCACTGCAGGTGCAGTTTACCAGAGACACACTCTGACCAGTGTGTAAGGTAATCTATGAAAAACGAGACAAATTGGGGAATCAAAGAGAGCTGCAAGTCAGTGGAGGAATGGAGGGTGGAGGGTGAAGGGGGGAGTATACTGTAGGTGGAGGGATGGAGAGAAGGATGGAGAGAGGAGCAATCAGTGAGGCAGAGATAATGAGGGAAGCTGAACTCCCCTCGGGAACAGGAGCAAGAGGATGTTGGCTTCTCTGCTGCTGCAAGGTCAGGGGCAAAGTGTAAGTCTGGCAGCTCTTCAGATAAACTAGTCCGCAGCGCAAGCTCTTTTTCCTCATTAGTTCACTTAACCCCGCCGAATGTCTACCCTTCCTAGGAAATTTGCTGAGCTTCCACAGCTCAGCGTGTATTTTTATTCAAGTGTCAGATATTCATGTTCACATTCATTTCGCTTTCGTATGATACATTGATTTGTTTCCAGAAGAGCAGTTCATCACTGATGAGATCATCGTTCCAGCCCGGGAGGCCAGCGAGGCGGATCTTCTTGTGGTTCACACTGCGCGTTACCTGAACAGACTCAAGGTAGAGGTGCAGTGGTGTGTCCATGCCCTGACCTGTGTTTTCACCTTTTCCTGGCACCCATAATTCCATATACTGATGGCAAAAGGTTACTATAAGCAATACAAAAAGTCAATTATAAAAGCAGCATTCTGATTTTCTAATTGGTTTGTCCTTTACCTCAATTTGACTGGCAATAATTGCAAATGTACTTATTGTAGACCTTCTATGAGATCAGTGCCAAAAGAAGAATCCATTTGAATCTATTATAGTCCCATTGTGACTGTGTGGACATTCCTTACTTTATCAAAAAGACATCTAGACTTCCTATTTCATCTCACCAGAAATGAGCCAGTGATGCACAGAGGAAGTGTACAATAGCAAATTTCGCTGGATTACTCAGTGCAGGCCTTTATTTCGGTCCAAATCAATCAGTTCGCAGTCTTCTGCAAAGATTGCAGTCTGCCAAGAATCCCTAACGCTCCCATGAGTCAGCTGCTCCAACATGCAGTCTGCGCAGTGGGGATGATTTAAAGGAGCAGTTCACACAGAAATGATTTTATTTCATTATTATTTGCTCATCCTGGTGTTGTTCCAAACCCGTGAGCTGTATAATATTCAACTCAACCAAAAACTACTCTGTGAATACCAACTGAAGTAAACTTTAGGCTTTGTGTGTAAAACTGTTAAGTATGACGTGTAAAATTATTATATAATTATAGAACTCAAACACTAGGACAACTGGCAAAAAAAAGAGCTTCCTTGCTGTTATTTTGCGGTGCATGACCTTTTTTATTATATCAATTTCAACTGAGAGTGTTCGCTTGGATAAAATGTAACTTTTGCTTTGGGGCTGTGGATTCAGTGCAGATGTATAGCCGATGAAAATGATACTGGCATAGAATTGAGATTGTTCAAGTAGAAGATCACAATTCATTGGAAAATGTATATTTGTACCCATCCCTAGCAAGAAACAATGGCGTAATAATGTATGGCATTTTAAGGCGTTGTCAATATGATTGTAAGAGAAACATTTTTCATTTTGTGTTCATGGAAAAATAACAGCATTTGGATTTAGAATCACACGACCGTGAGTAAATAATTTTTCGTTTGTGGGGGAACCTTCTTTCCTTTTTAGTTCATAGGCCTTCGAGCCCCTGAATGGATGTATTTGAAACTATATTTGTTGCATCTGTTGCTTCAGCGGTTGCTTACTGTAGCTGAAAACCGCTGCTCTCTGCTCACTTATGAAGGCTTATCGCCCAACTACTTGGTCACCCTTTAAATCGGCTCTGTGTATATTCTCTCTTTCCCTTAATGCATGCAGAACGCTATCTTGGAGGGCTCCAGAGAGGTATCTGAGTTCTACTCTGACTGAATCTTTTGTACTTGCTTCACACTTTTTCACTTTGTAATATGCATTAGTACAGTCTATTTATCCTGCTTTAACATTTTGCCACCAGTTTGCATTTCCACTAAATTATCACCTGTATCATTTATATTCCACTCCCTGAAGATAGATTTGAAACCTGATTTACTGTACAATCCACCAGCGAAATTGAGCGAAATCCTCTTTGAAATTGCTTTCTGTTTTGGTTTCTGATATTTATGAGATCTTAATTTTTTTTTTACAATATCCGAGAAGAAATTGTCACATTATTTTCATTATAATTTAGAAGTCATTGTTATTATAATTTAGACTCCGGTACCAGGATTGCTTACCTAATGTGCATGTGATTTCTCCTACCCTCAGTGGTCTCTGGTAGTTGCCACCATCACAGAGATCCCACCTCTCCTGTTCCTGCCCAACTTCCTGGTACAGCGCAAAGTTCTGAAACCTTTGCGAACGCAAACAGGAGGAACCATCATGGTAGGTTTCAAATCTCCATTTCACCTAGAAATGTGAGTGTCGAGATTAAAACATACTCAAGATAGGGAATTTATTTGTTCATACTAAACTTTTTAGCTTTGCACAGTGGAACGGCATGTGAATTCTGACTTATTGAACAGTTTGATATCATAATTCTGCACTGATATGTCTCTAGTCTAACCCTCTTGGCCTTAGGAGATCTAGGTGTTCAGACAGTCACACTTTTCCTGTGAGATCCATGACAAATATTTTATTTTTTATTTTATTTTTTTGGTTATAAGTTTTCTTTACCTCTTGTCAAAAAAAGGATGTTCCATTCTTGTTCCATTCTCTCATAAAAATATTCTGATGGCAATATTCTTATAGCGTCCCAACATACAGTAATATAAAACAAAAAATATATGATTTGGAACACAGTTTAACAGAAACTTTTTGTACACCCTGGGGTTGTAGGCAGGGCTGTAGGACATAGTCAATACAATGGGGGGAAAAAATAAAAAGTCCTGCACAATGTTGTAGCTTGCAAATGTTTATTAGATGTTTTTGATCAAAATTAGATTTATTTTTCTAGACATTTTTAGTGAAGGTATATAATAAAGATTTTCAAGTTACAGCACTGTGTGAGACTTTTTCTGCTTTAATACAACACAGATCTGTGGGACTGTTATGATCAGCAAAATGATAAAATTCACCTGTAGGACATCAAACGGAATGAAAAAAAAAATCATTGTTATAGCTGCCCAAGTGATTTCCTTTTATTGTCCATCAGCAAGACATTTTAACAATGCAATACAAATAGGGGTATAGATTAGACATCCCTACAAATCGAATAAGAAGTCAAAAGAAAATCCAGTGGTAATATCATGAGATTCTGAACGTCTATACACGTCTATACAAGATCTAACTTGGTCTTATTCCTAATAAAGAAGCACAACGCAATTCTAAAAATGCTGCTTTAGGTTTTTTCAGTAGGGTTTGTACAACTGCAGGTATTATGTTTGGAGAATGTAATACAATGAGTCATCATCTTGCTTAAGCTCCAGCTCCATGGAGTATTGTTCAAAGTTTTACTAGGAAATAGGAACATTTGGTGACAGAAAGTTGTTTGTGAGGGCCTAGTTTGGGCCTCTCATTGGCATAAGTTGAAATAACCTGGGGAGGAACAGCCGGCAGGAAAGGCTCTGAACATCTGTGATAGAGACGCTCGGAGGAGTTTCTCACAGGTAACACAACCGCATTAACGGTCTCTTTTGAAGCTAGAAACAGACACATTACTGGCTGCTTTTCTGCTTGCGAGTTAAGCAGAAGAAAATAAAGGCTGAAAGTGCTACTTTAATTCCTAATGAGTTTTCAGTGTTTTATTTCTCAGAGGAAGTTTCTGTTTTTGGATCTTAATAACCAGCTTGGATGTTTGTGCACTTGAGCCCATGACAGTTTTCTCTGTAGGAAAGGTTTTTTGATGTTTAAGTAGTTGTATTTAAATATTTTATTTGCTCAAATCAAATTTAAGCAATAAGTACACAATGAACACAACTGAGAATTTCTACCAGTTCCAAGACCATTTGGTATCTCTACCAAGACACATAAATAATAGTAATGCTTGATTTTTTTTTTTTTTTTTTTTTTCAGGAAAATGTGAGTAGTGCTTGCCTGTAAAAAGTGCCACAATGCTAGGATAATGGCAGGGCAAATCTTTTCCAATCTTCAAATCAACTGAAACAGTTGCTTCGCAAGATGATTTACTGTTGATTAGAATAGAATAAAATATTTAGCAATAAAGCAATAGAGACCCCAAAATGTATTTTGACTAATCACTTCTTTTCACTAAAAAAGTGAAAATTGAGGTAACAGTGAGGCAGTTATATAAATGAGGGCCATTTTTTGAGGATTTAAAAGTAAATGTGAAGCTTATCATTTTAAATAAGCACTTGCATCAATGGGCTCTATGCACGGCGGTATTTCCGGTGAAGGTCTAAGGATGCTGGATTACTTCCGCCGATCGTAGAGTCCAATGCTAATCCGAGAATTTATATTGGTTTTTATACTCTATTGCTATACTAAAGAAACGTTAGTCACAAAAACAGACAAAACAGACACCCCTCATTTTGTTTATGCTTCTTTGTTTATTATATTAAATAAACATAAATATGTATAAAATTACATCTAAACGTATTAAAGTTTCGTTTCAAAGACGAGAAGACAGTAAATTTTGAAGACTCTGCCATAATCCCGTTTTCCTCGGTTTTCCTCCGCTTTAAATCTCCCTAACCGGAAACGCAAGAGCATCCTTGCATCAAATGCGGAAGTTATGCGTGCATATAGCCCATTGTTCTGTTTAAACTTGTGTATTATTTGAGCTGTAAAGTTGTTTAAATCATACTTTTTACAGTTGTTTTAGGGTGTTGTGTTGACATGGCAATAGAGTTGTAAAATGTCATATAGCTTAGCAAGCTATTTTTTCACGCTAAAATCATCTCAACACATTTTGGTTACGTGTTGTGGCTGTACTATTAAAACAGTGTTTTATTGTTTAGATATTGGCCCGATCACTTTTAGCGTAAGTGCCTCACTATTACCCTGATTTTTGCTTTTATAGAGGAAAAGGATGGTCAAGTGGAAATTAACAATGCTGTTGATTGAGCTGGACCAGGGATATTCCTTTAAGGCACGACGTTGTCAATCTTCTACCAGCAGTACCATCTTGAGGACGTCCCTAGTGCAAATTTCTATCCTCCCTGTTATTCCAGCAATGTAAAAGACTGCAGTAAATTATATTGCGGTATGCCAGGTGTTCTCCACAGTGCATCTGCGCTCTGACAGACTGCACTGCGTGGCAGACGAACTCGCGATGAGTGTGCTCCACACGTCCCTCTCAGCCCGAGAACATAATTATACCTCCCATTGAGCCCTTCTCACGGCCTGCTAATTGACTGCCATTTCAGTCAGCAGTCGACAGGCTGGATGGAGCTGTAGTTCTGGTTCGGGGAACATGGGAGTGTGTGCGGGCCGTCCCCGTTTTAGGTAGTGCGCAAGGAAGTTCAAGGTTAGACAACATCCACTGTGTAATTGTGGGCGTTTGGGAGGAATTATCATAATGAGCAGACTCGTATCATTAATCTCTGCTCTATTGTAGTGGATTTGTTTATTATCAGTCTTAATGTGATGATTATGAATGAGATCAGATGTGCACACTTTGTTTTGCTTTAATAGCACTACTTCAGTTACAAATAGTGCAGTCGAGCTGTAGACAATTATTTTAGAGATGCAGAATGTGGCAGTGGATGCTTATATAATTTGATGCTTTTCACACAGAGCGGTCGTTATGTCATTTAGGTTGTTCGACTAAAAATATCATTGATTCTGAAGAGGATATGGTGCCACATACCAGGGCTGAAAAATAAGGATGGGCCAGTGTGAATGAACAACTTCTAAACATGTAAATTAGAAGGCAGGCATGACGAAAAAATGCAAGGCATTGCTAGTGTATACACAAATTTGTGCTCACTACATACTGATCCACTGCTTAGGGATCTAGAGAGTGAAATGAAACAAGTTTTCAAGTGGTGTGATAGACTTTGCATCAAAATGTGATAGAATAAATAAATCAATAATGTTTTGCGCTGTATTTCATCACATTACAGCAAAATTCAGCAATAAATGACATTTTAAAATATATTAAAATAGAAAAAAGCTATTTAAAATTTTAATAATATTTCACAATATTACTGTTTTACTGTGTTTTCATCAATTACATGTGGTCTTGGTGAAAAAAAACCTTAAATAAAACCCATTGTGATTATTCCAAACTTTTGTCCGGTAGTGTTTGTGTGTATATGCTGAATATTTAAACAGTATATAGCAGGCAGCTGAACTAAATCTGATCTACTTGCCCAAAAATCCGTCTTTTATTGAGGCACGTATTTTCCATGTTGCATTTTCTGTTTTGTTGAGAGCACTGGTTGATTTGAATAAAATATTAATCATGAGTAAATTTATATGCACTCTGGTCCTTGAATTGATTGAAATGATTGCAGACTCAAACTTTTGATGCAGTTTTACTGATGGATCTCCTATCAGTAGAAACCCCAAAGAGAGGGAGAGCAGGAGAAAGTTATAAAGGAAAGAGAGAGCTGAGTTGAGCTTAGCTGTGCCTCCTAGGAACAGCTCAGGGCTCCAGGCTCACTGATAACCTTCTCCTTATGCAAAGCCATGCACTGGCTGCAGCCAGGGGATTGAGCTCAAGAGCAGCGTGTGAGTGTGCGTGTGCATGCGTGTGCGTGCATGTGTGAAGCTCTCTTCTTAGTTTGGCTCTCTACTTCACGAGTGACTGAAAGTAGCTTTAAATGCACTCAGAGGAGAGTGTCATGAGTGTATTGGTTGTATATCAATTCTAGATGCAGTTAAACTTGTCTTAAATTATCATTAGTCATTATCTCAGAGTGTGCTCGTAATAGGCAAGCTACACCAATCAGAAATAATACTGCATAGTTACTGCTATTTTACATGGAATTGCTTGTTTTTGTAAAGGTCTTTTATGGATGTTTTTAAAAAGGTCTCACCAGGAAAAGTTTTAAGAATTGCTGTCAAATATCAAATTAAAAAAAGTTGTCCTTACATTTCTTTAAGTTTGTGAATTGATTGTCATTGCATTTTAAATGTTCTGTTCTTACCATGAAAATATTTTTGGTCAGTAATATTTAATTTATTTTTTGAAAGAAATTAATACTTTTAGAAATTGATACAAAAAATATATTTCAAATAAATACTGTTCCCTTAAACAACCATTAAAGAATAATCATTTAATCATTAAATGTATCTTGGTTTCCACAAAAATAGCAAGCAACAATAATATTTCATAGTACTGTTTTTACTATACTTTTTTTTTTATCCAAATAAATTCAGCCTTGGTGAGCATAAGAGACTTCTTTATGAACTTCAAAAAAAACCCTACTGACCTCAAATTTTTGAACGGTAGTATGTATATATAACAAATAAAATAAAACAATTATTTATGGAAAATGCCCTCCAAAAAAAAGATGATAAAGGCAGTACCACTCTTGATGTCACTGCAGATATGAAGCCCTGTACCAAGTACTCAAAGCTTCCAAAGGCTCATGGAGGCAATCAGATTACTTGTGACAAGATGAAATGATAAAAGGAAACGCGATATGGTCTCATTTTGGAAGATGAGCGAAAAGCTGATTATTATTTCAACAAAGCAGCATCAGGTTTTCTTTTTATTGCAAACCTCATTGGAATGTGCTACTCTTGGATGATGGTCTTATCAGTGATAGGCAAATGGATAACCCTTGCTGTGATGGAAACGCCATTTTAAAGCCATTTCCTGTTATTCCACTGCCATTACATGTGTGCGATAGATTGGATTTTTCCTATGTTAATGTGAGGTAATAACAGAAATAGAGCAAAGCTAAGATGAGTGAATAAGGGAAAGAATACGAGGAAACCATTAACAACAGAAATAAATGTCTAAAATGAGTGTTATTAAATATTAGAAATGTGCAGGCTCTGTAAAAAGCTGCACTAAACCCCTCTTAAGCCATTAGTGGACTATATGAACAGAACTTCTGTGTGAAACTGAAAAGATTTGTAATCAGACATGAAAGAAGTTCAGATAATGTTGAATCCTCCCTCAGCTTTAGTGCCAAGTTACTGTGCTTTTGATTTATCTGGCACATGAGATTGTTTTTCTGTTAATTTCTCTCTCTCTCTCTATCTCTATCTCTATCTCTATCTCTATCTCTATCTCTATCTCTATCTCTCTCTCTCTCTCTCTCTCTCTCTCTCTCTCTCTCTCTCTCTCTCTCTCTCTCTCTCTCTCTCTCTCTCTCTCTCTCTCTCTCTCTCTCTCTCTCTCTCTCTCTCTCTCTCTCTCTCTCTCTAGGCTGGAAAGCTGGCAATGGATCGAGGATGGGCAATAAATGTGGGTGAGTTCTCTTTCTAATGCTCCCAATCATCACTCGAAAAACAATTGCAGTGAGAATAAGTGCATCTTACTGTGCTCCCTGCATATTTGATTCCAGCTCAGGCATACTATTGATCATTTTTAAGTAGTGATTCTCAAACATCCTAATATTGCCTAGTCACAAAAAGTTCCCTCTAATTTTGTCGACGTTCGGTTGAACTCTCTTTGAGTTCAAGCTTAAGGACTGTCTTAGTGACAATGTCCTATTTTACATATATTTTATATGTATTCAAATTGCATATAAAAATGTTAAATTTAACATGAAAAAAATACAAAATTAAATAAATAATTAAAATAAAAAAACCTAAATATTTGTTTTTATAATTACATAAAATAATATTTAATATAATTTTTTAATTGTCACGTTGTGTACCATTGGTCCTGTACTGGTAAAATTTGAGAACCCATGCTTTAAAGAAATGAGTTAAAAGGGAACATCTTTTTAATATTAAGATGTAATAGGGTTGTCCTATTGGTAACTTCATTCAAAAATTCCCCAAATATGGCGTTGTATCGATGCATTCAATATTCTATTCTCATCCTCGTTTCTGAAGAAAGCGTGGCTCCTGCTAGCTCAGGCATTTCCCTCAGGCCGTTCTTCTAAAACAGAGCTGCTCTTTGCCTTTGAATTGCTAAACATTAATATACAACGGACGACTGTTCATTCAAATGCGGGCATTGTTCCTCGAAGGGTGTTGCACAGTAATTGAAAGGTGTGAATCAGTAAGCGGGGTCGTGTGAATAAGCAATAAATGCTAATCAGCAACCGGCTCGCTCCCATAGAGGAGCTTCCGGAGTGCAGAGTCATTTAATGAGGCTAAATGTGGCGGGTCATGGAAGGACAGATCAGATCTGTTGCCTGAATGTATAAATATGATCCTAATTAAAAGCTAGTCTCTCAATCACCCATGTTTTGAGAGAACATTCAAAGGGAAATCGTCTGGTGGCACTGGAAAACAGGCACCATTTTTATACACCATTCACTGAGCTGAGCTGTTTTAAAGGCCTTTTTCTGGTCTCTTGCAGGAGGAGGCTTCCACCACTGCTCTAGTGACAAAGGAGGAGGTTTTTGTGCCTACGCTGACATCACACTAGCAATCAAGGTGAAATATTTGCACCAAAACATAGTCATATACAGCGGTTGTAAATCATATGGATTATGAATAATATGAAACTCAATATCTTGAACAGTTTAAATCTTTGAGCAGTTTCTGACTGAAATTGTTTTTTTTTTCTAATGAGCATTGCCAATAAATAATATTTTGAAGTTGAATGAATATTTTCAGAGTTAACTTAAAAATATATATATATTTTTAATTTAATTTTTAAAATTATATCAAATATTTAAATAAGTCAATATTTTGAAAATATTTTGTTAACGCAATTGTTTTTAAATCACACGAGGAGCTAAATCAGCCAATTATATCCAAATTATTATTTTTTATGTTGGAATTGAGCACTTTTGGTAGTGGATTTGCTATCATGTTCAGTATAGTTGCTGTTTGGTCATTTTAAAAAGTAATAGTTTTACTCTATTTAAGAAATTAAAAGACTAGAGATAAGAGGCATAAACAGGTCGTTAAACCTTTTTACTTTTGAAAATCATGTAGCATTTCTCCCTGTCAAACAATCTAGCCTTGTACTTTATCCGTTCATTTAAAAAAAAAAAATCCTGCATAAACTCATGTGTACGAAATCATGTTTGGAATCTATGTACCATCTTTTTACTGAAACTCATACATTGATCCCCCCCCCCCCCCCCCCCCCCATTCATTCCACTCTCAGACTGTTTTTTATGTCGTGAAATCCACAAACCTCTTTGCAATTTGTTCCTCTGTCAGGCACAACCTAACTTCCTCCCTTGTGTGTTTCCCTCTGCAGTTTCTCTTTGAGAGGGTGGAGGGTGTTGCCAGGGCCACCATCATCGATCTAGACGCCCATCAGGTGAGCAGTCCTTTTCCAACGCCACCCTGTCAGTCAATGGAATTGACGCTGTAGACGAGATAATAACCCCTTTTGGTGGTGAAATCAATGGTTCTGCTCTCTGATTACTTGTTTGCAACAGCTTTGACTCATTTGCAGCTGAAATTTACTTTCTTCTGTTGTCGTGGCTCCGTTAGTGTTGGCTGTTGAGTGTGTCATTATGATGATTGCCATGGCAATTACTACCCAATAATGGTACTTTTTAAGTCAAGTGTGTTATGATATCATACATGTTCTTAAAGTGTGTAATGAGGTGATAGCTTTTTCTGTAATTCTTTTACCATCTCATAAGAGCGTTAAATAGTCACACCATACATGTTTTACACAGTCATAGTTGACTGTAACAGTTTTTTTCTTTTTTTTCTGCTGTCTTTAAGAAGTCTATGCAAATTCTATATTTGCATGGGCCATATGTTTGTACTCTGTCTGGAATAGATGATGTTGTTGTACACTACCATTCAGCAATTTCATTAAGAATGCATAAATTGTTTCAAAGTAACAGTAAAGACTTTTACGTTGTTATAAAAGTTTTCTATTTCAAATAAATGCTGTTTCTCAGAAAGTTCTATTTATCAAAAAAAATCCTGATAAATCCTGTTTTCAAAATTGATAATAATAAAAGTTTCTTGACACTGGAGACTGAAGAAATGGCTGCTAAAATTTCAGCTTTGTCGTCACAGGAATAAACGACATTTTCAAACATATTAAAATAGTAAAGAGTTATATTAGATTGTAATAATATTTCAGAATATTACTGGTTTTACTGTATTTTTGATCAAATAAATGCAGAAGATAATTATTTCAGAAACATTCAAAAGGGGGATATGTTCAGTAATAATAGAAAAATAGTGTAAGTTGTTACAGTTCTGACACTTACAGAATGTTCACATACTAATCAATATCAATTTAAAATTTGCAAGATTTGGCCCCTTTAAAGATCACAGATATGAATACTGTAAGATGCCACTCTGTTGATCTTGGCAGCAGTAGAATATGTTATATCCAATGCAGTGCTGAGATGGTAAGTTATCCCGCTCTTTAATAAAATATGTCTGTTCCTTAATCATTTTCACTATTACGGGTTTTATGATCCTTAACTGATGTGTAGAATGCAAATTGGCTATATGCCAGTCTGTGTTTTATCCTTAACAACATGATATTTACTTGGTTACAAGTGTATTTATACAGTAGGGTGACATACAACTGAATTAACACAAAAACAATTAAGCACTTGTGAGAGTATGTTCACCTTAGACCATGCAATGCCCATTTTTCCATGCTATTAAAGTCGGCATCTTTTGTAACATTGTGAATGTCTTTAGTGCACATTTGATCAGTTTATTGAATCATTGCTAAATAATGTCACAGCTGTAGCTTCGGAATCCAACACATGATGCAGAGAATAAATACAAACAGTCTTTAATGAACCAGGAGAATAGTCAGGAGAATCAATATAACAAACGTGAACCAAAGACAATAACTGACCGCGAACATGGGGAGTATAAATACACAGAACTAAACAAGACACAGGTGGGACTAAACAGTAACCAAGTAAGTAACTAAGGGTAAGTTTACACACCAGTGATGTATTAAAAACGGCAACGTTTTTCCTTTGCGGTTTTCGCATACAGACGACAACGTTGTCAAAACGATCCCCATTAGTATGGATCTGCAAAAAATGCTATATTATGCTGCCAGGCCAGTAGGTGAAGTCACTTTCTAAAGAAAAACTCCATACCTGAACACGTAATATGCATGCGCATGCATGACGTCACAGTTTTCACAAATTCGCGTTTTTGTAGTTTGCATGGAGACAATAGCTGTATCATTTTCACTTTGAAACCCATTTTCAAAAAGTTTGCGGTTTCAGTCCCCAAAAGCTGTCATGAACCTAAACAGCCAAAACGCATACAAAGTTTTCTGTTTTTAGTTGAAAACGGTGCCATGTAAATGGCCCCTTAGGGGATGACAACTAATATGAAAGGAAACGGGAAACACAGGCACATGACAAAAAAACACAATGAAACTCAGTCTGACCCTGACAAATAAAAGTATTCATTTCTTTAAAAAAAAAAAACAATCAGACTGACCTTAAACTTTTAGAGTACATATTTATTATGCCAGCCACCCATATCAATCAACCACTAGTCTTATCTAGCCACACGTGTCATATCCTTCCTTCCTTAATTAGTGTAAATCAACATGTTTCCCTCTAATTTGCAGTTTATTGCACTCTCCTTCCTAATGAGTCACCTCCCCTGCTAATTAGCCCAGCCTATTAAGTAAGTTCTCATGGACCCAGGAGCTGTTGTTCTTGATCATTTTGGTGCTACAGTTTCACATAAAACTGCCATAAGCATTTTCAAGTGTGGCTTGATTGTAATTATGGTCTTTTGCTCATCGACTAAGCCAACAAGATCAGATCAATACCATTGCTGGGTGAATAATTCATGGAGGGCCACTAGCAGAACAAAGGTGGGAATCTTCATATTGGCATATAAATAGGCCTGAAAGTGCTGTCTCAGCTGGGTGTAAAAACTGTGAAAATATCGAGAGGGGAGAAATGGGCGTTGAAGCTCCAATTAAAGGCTTAAAATGATGACATGTAATGGCAGATGCTGGTCTCTGAAGGTGACATCAGTTGCATATATGAATTCATAAAAACCAGAATTATCTGCACAATGAGATGACAAATTGTTAGTGCCCTGTATGATGAAATATTAAAAAATCAAAGTACTTAAAGTAGTTGTTATAGCATCCCTGGTATGTTACATACCCCAAAATGACTTAAAGCAACATTATTAGATATTACAGTATTAGAAATGATTTATTCATGCACATCATTTTTTTTAATTCATGTGCGATTTACAGTTATATCTTTTCTCTTCTCTGATGTCGTGTTTACAGGTGTGAGGGTGTGACAACCCGTCACTCACATGAGATCACAGCAATAGCAAACCACAACCATCCAATTAATTGCTGATGGACAAAATCAAGTCCCACCCTACATTTTTCCCTATTCGTCAAGCCGCTCACTTATCACTATAGGGTAGAAAAGACTATTGCAATTATGTTTCATGCTGACTTTAAGACTATTTGCAGTCAACAATGATAAATTTGCTCTACAAGTAAATGTGTCCGATAACAAGGCGGGTTATGGAGATCAATTGAGTATTTAGCTGGTCTCGTGATTCAAACTGGCCGCCGCCATGAGACTACCGGTTTCATGTAAAAAACCCCGAAAAACTGATATATATATATTTATTACTATTATTTTTAATATATTGAATTCGCTTTTATATTTATATGTTAGTTTTAATTGTAATTTTAGTTATATATATTTAAACGTGTCTTGACATTTACACCCGCCAAATGCTGGTGGATTTCAGCAGTGCCATGAACACATTTTAAAAATCTGAGATAATAAACTATCTGAAATAATAAACTAACTGCAATGTAGTGTTGTCAAAAATATAGATTTTTCGATACATATCGATAGTGAATATCTGAATAGCTTCCAATGATCATTTTCTGCAGAATAGATACACAATACCAGCTGCGCTTTCTCAATCTCTCATCTCTCCGACAGCGAGTTGACACACAAACCCGCCTCCCCTCACTCGCTTGTTTCATTTGCTCCGGATGAATATTGTTGGTGTTACAGGGCTTACATTTCGGCATGGGGTTGTGCGTATTGTGCATAATTTTACTCATTCCCGCAGATTTTGCGCACACATAAAGCCACCTCTCAGTACTAGTTGAGTCAGTTTTTGCTGCATGCTTATTGCGCTTAAACAGTCGAATACCAGAGGTGGAAAGAGTAATAAAATATTCTACTCAAGTAAAAGTACTACTACTTCAATAAAATTGTACTTAAGTACAAGTAAAAGTACCGGTCTAAAAATCTACTCAGGTAAAAGTAAAAAGTAGCTCATTTAAAATTTACTCAGAGTAAAAGTTACTGAGGAACTTTTTTAACAGCGGGGGTGGGGGACTCTCCCGTGTAGGCTTGTAATGGTATGAGATTTTCACAGTATGATAGCGTCTCAGAAAATATCACGGTTTACAGTATTAATCAATTATTAAATAAATGATGGGTATTATTATTATTATCATCAGTTAAAATGACAGTTAAATGAATGAAAACAGGATTTTTTTTTGGTTGAACAAATGCTTTTATTATAACAAACTTTATTAAAATTTCAATAAAACATGTCTAATCAATTAAATTTGATAATTGATAATGAATTAGATTAACAACTTATTTTTAACATTAATAATTTATTAACATGTTTAAGAAAAATATTGTCCTATGAAATGTATTTTATTCAGAAAATTAATGTTTATTTTTATGATTAATCCAAATATATTATCAAAAACGGTTGTAATCAAATGTAAATGTAAAATTGTGTCCTTTTACTTTGGGGGGAAGCGCTGCAAAAACAGGTTTACTAAATTAAACCATGGACAAAAAATATATTCCTTTAAATAATGTTTAAATAAAATGTATTATTATTGTTGTTGTTATTATTATTTAGAGAAGTAGGCTACGTTCTATTGTATGCCTATAATAGTAATATATTTCTGTCCTAGTTTCTCCTGGTGAAACCAAACTTTTATTTTGACGGGTTGTAGGCCTATGTGAAGACCAAAAGTGTAAAAAAAAAAGTGTTTCAAAGTGTATTTGACAATGGTTTATCTCAAATAAAATGATGAAAATGCTCATTAGGCGTTCTCTCAGAGCAGCTCTGGAAATGTTCATGTATTCATATCCTCAAATTGTTTGTGAGACTGAATGTCACGCGTACTTGAGTATGTAGTAGACAAAGCGGCGCAGCTCAGCAGAACAAATAGGGTTATATTTACATGCAGTATTTTTGTGCTTAGCTTAAATATTCACAGACCATGTCGCGATTGGATTTATTGCACAGTTCTACCTTCCATATATTCATCCATCCATTATTTTGCGTGTTTTACGTGACATCTGCGTTATGTAAATTTCATTTTCATGACTGGATTCCGGGGTTCCCTCTGCATCACGTAAATCGGGACATACCTTATCTGCAGGAGGGATGGTGTCCTATATCCTCCTTTTGCAGCCACTTTACGTCCACATTTTTTGCAAACTGGATATCTATCCTCGAGGACAACCACGCTTTTTTTCTACAAAGTATTTTCATACTGGCCATAATTCGCTTGGCGCTTCGGTTTCAGCTTCAGCTGGTTCTGCGTCACCTTTTTTGCGCGTTTGTTCTCCCGCCCTTCAATCAATGCAGTAGTTTCCGGAGTGTGTTTTTTTTCTCTTCTTTTCTTCTTGTATTATTTTTTACTCAGTAACGGATATGATTTCAAATGTAGCGAAGTACAATACTTCAAAGAAAACGTACTTAAGTAAAAGTAAAAGTACAGTAAAAACTACTTAAAAAAGTTGAAGTACACAAAAAAAAAACTACTCAATTACGTAACGCGAGTAAATGTAATTCGTTACTTTCCACCTCTGTCGAATACACACAATGCACATAAACAGTTGAGAAAGAAAACGCATGTGTAACGGTATAATGGATTATTGCATCAGGTCTTTAAGTGACAGCAGCCTAATATACCTGCTGCCAAATTATGAGATTATATTAAAAATATCTATATGGCAGTTTTTCCCCATGGTGTTGATGTCAAAATTGTGGCCAGTGAAAATGCTGAGTGGCTAGTAACTATGGAAAAACCACTAGCCAGAGTTTTAGTAAGTTTAGTTCTTTAACTTAAGCTTGTTTTATTTCAGTTAGTTGCCAAAATTACATTTCGAATCATTTATTTGATGATAATCTCAGCATCTGTTAGCATCTCTCTGACTTTAGAGTTTATGATAATTTAATGTTATCACATATTCAAACAGCATCCTCTTTGACCGCCTATAGCAAAATAAAGAGGGAAAATCTACATGAAAACAATGAAATGGTCCATCTGACAGTTCCAGCATGTGCTTGTATTCGCAAACAAGCCTTTAGCCGTTCCAGTTCCGAGTTGATTGCAGCCTCTGATGCAGAAATACTGTATCTTCCATCCTCTGCTCTTATGATAGTGTTGGCGCATTAGATAATATTACCATTCTATAACAGTTCACCTCTACTCATGACTGTCAGTGGAACTTAAGGGCTGCTGCATGTTGAGTAATCACTCCTGTATATATTATTAATGTAAGCTGCCTGTTAGATTTCAGAGGACCAAACTCGAAATTGCTACATGGATATCTTTTTGCCAGCAGCAAGGTTTTGCTGCTTGAGTGCACAGATGGTGCAGACAGGAGAATGTGAATGTGTCCCTAATGCCTGGTTCATAGTCTCGTAATTGGCTAACGGTCTGAGTAGAGAGACAGGGCTGTTTTGGAATAAGAGACTGTAGTCGTACACATGAGTTGCGGGCCTTGCAGCAGTTTTAAATTAAAAGTGACAATAGCCAGACACTGTACATGACAGATGGTGAGGAGGATGGAATGAAGAGGGATGGAAATGTTATGACTTCAGAACACAGAGCGCAACACTTAGCATCTGAGGAAAAGCTCATCTTCGCACCTCTCGCTGTCAAAAACAAAAGCAGTTGTGCTCACACTGGACACATGTAATAGACTGCATTATAGTATTCTTGACAAGCAGTTTGGAGATTTTTTGAGAGTTCACACAAAATGGGTGAATAGTGTTGTAAAATATAATAATTCTACAAGACATATTTTTTTCTATATATATTTTTTAAACGTTTGTTGATTGAGACCATAGATAGGACAGGGATTTTTGGGCAGAGTAAAATACACTGGAATACACCATAAACATCATTTTATTGCTATTTAATTTTGTGTTATTTTCATCATATACAGTAAAAAAAAATATGCATTTACTTCAAGCAAAATTAAGTAAATAAATTTTACCTGAAGAGCTTTGTAGTGAAAATATACCTTTTACTGCCTTATTATTATTATTATTATTATTATTATTATTATTTGTCCTGCTTAGGTTAATTTAATGGATATTTCATTGGCATTTTAATGTAAAATCATTTGTGTATTTTTTTTTTTCTTTTGAGAATGTATATGTAGATGTTTAATGTTAATTAAAGACAAAAATATGTATTTTATGCATGTATTAAAGTTAAGTTACATCATTCACAAAGACACATTTTTTGCATGCTCATTTATTGAATATTCTGGTTAATTTGATTTTAGCTCATTTTAACACATTTGACCATATTGGAATGTATAATTCTTCAGATTCTTCTGATTCAAACTGGCTGTCCCATGAGACAACCTGCTTTATGTACAATAAAACTACTTTTTTATAGGCTATGGATGTATATTTTTCAAGAATTATTCATATCCTTTGTGTAAAACTATTTAGGTGCTATTGGATTGTGCATTATTGATTAGTGTATTTTTTATATATATATTTATGCTTTTTGATTTTTTTTTTTACTGATTACTCAGTGACAGGACATTATTCAGTGTTATTGATACACTATTTTTTAATATATTATTATAATTTATATTAATATTATTATTATTATTATTATTTATGTATTACTATTATTTTTAATAAATTGGATTGGCTTTTATTTTATATATATTAGTTTTCATTTTAATTTTAGTTTATAATTCTTTTATTTATTTTAGTCATATTGGATGTATAATTCTTCAGATTTTCTACCAAAATCAGTGCAGAAAATGCATAAAGCCCGGATTATTTCCTAGATCAGAGATTAATTTAAAAACAACTGGACCAAATCTTTATTTTAATACACTGTAGTTAGAAACCAGCGGTGGTGTAAATCTTAGATTATTAATAGTCTTAGTTGTAGTTGTTAGTGCAAACAGCAGGAATCGATGTATCTAAACTTATATCTGCTCTTTGCATATTGCAGGGAAATGGCCACGAGCGGGATTTCCTGGATGACAGACGCGTTTACATAATGGATGTCTATAATCGTCACATCTATCCAGGAGATGGATATGCAAAGAGTGAGTTAAAGTGCATTTGAGTGTGTAAATGGGCATTTGAAGTGATCCTGATTATGTAAAGATATCCTGTCCCACAGTGATACGAGAAGATGAAACGCTTTGGATCATGGTTTTCTGACTGATTTAGCCTGGACATGCTCTTTATTTGCATATCTATAGATATTCACACATACACACACTCACCAATAATGGGATACTGAGATGGAGACAAATGAAAGGAAATCTGGGAAGAAGGTAAAGTACTTTTGCTCTCCTACAGGGGGCAGTGTCCTGCAACCCTCATGGTACTGAGAGCTGTTTACTCACTGCCTTATATGGTTGAATGTTCTCTTCATCATCCACATTTCTCTTGTTACTTTAACCCTCTTATTTATACTGGCATGGCAAATAAATAAAAAGCGATGTCAGTGCAGTTTGCAATATATATTTGTTTTTCTTTTTACTTTTATACCTTCTTATAGGTTGTTCATAACAAGAATGTTTCCTCACATCTACAGTACATGCCAAACTGACTCTTACCTTACAGTCATTTTTTATTTATTTAACTTTTTTATTGAATTTTAATGAACTACTTTCATTTGAATGGAAAATGTCAAATTCATTTCCAACCCCTGGTTTACTATATAGTTTATATATATACTTTATTAATTTGACAAAATTTATCCTAAGATTTGAAATCCATCTTTTTGTCTTTGAATGAGACAAATGGTGAAATATTCACCATTCAAATTCTGATAATTGATCATTTCATTGTCATATTTGCATACTGAATTGTGATTTGTCTTCTTTTTCTGCCTTACTTGCACTGATATTTCGTTCAGTAAATGTTTTGATTGATATGTTGGATATCAAAGAAATAGCCCACAGTGGTTTGAAGGAATGACTTACAACACGCTTCAACTGACACCGATATGGTCACATTATAATCTTCGTCAATTAACGCATCCGTTATCTGCGCTGTTCTAACTCGCTCTGTCAAACATTTGACCAGGAGTGACAGAAATATTGCTGTTCTGTTAAGCTCCAGTGCACACTGTGTGACAACTTGTCAAACCTGAGATGATTTCATTAAAGCATTTACATACCGTAACCAGCTAAACGTAAGGTTTTATAAACGTATAATGTTCTGACTTAAACTTCCCCGCGCTCTATTGAAGGCATGTCCTGGCTTCCCATGATAAGTTTCACATGGCCTCGTTTTCCTTAAAATTTCCCATAGTTTCTTTCTAAGCCATTTTCCCTCTGTGATTTCTCAGTATGTTCAAAAGGGAACGTACCTCAGTTTTCTGACTTTGTGTATCCGTGGTCCTCTCATCTGCCTGTAAAGGCACAAGAGACTAATTAGTCTTAAAAGCCTCAGAGAAAGCAAGGTATTGTGCTCTATTTGCCTTTAAACCAGGCTTAAATAAACGAAAGAACACCTTACATTAGTTTTTACCTTTTTAAAGTAAATAGTTACTTCTTTTCAGTTACATACACAACCATTTTGGTGATTAGAAAAAGCAAGAAAAACCCTTAGTGGCTTTTCCCCACAGTTTTTTGAGGGAAACATTATTTTCAGAAAATGGACATAACTTCAAGGAGTAGTTTGCCCCAAAATGAAAAATCTGTCATTATTTACTTAACCTTATACCTGTATAATTTAAATAATTTGTGACTATGTCTTTTGTGAAACAGTAAATATTTCTTGCATACTCTCCAGCCTGTTCTTTTGCATACAGTTAAAGTTTTTTTATGATGCTTTTATGTTTTTTTTTTTTGGAACTTGATAACTCCTGGTCCCTATTCACTTTCATTGTATTGAAAAGAGCAGCTTAGCCATTTTTTGAAGAATTTTTTGGAACCACATGAGAGTGAGTAAATGATGACAGAATTAGCATTTTTGGGTGAACTAACCCTTTTAATAAGTTACTTTGTCCATTATTTGAGTGTAACTGCTCTGAATTGCCGTTATCTGTTTACTCACACTTTACCTACCTTTGTCTTTATCTGCTGTTAAGGTGATGAAAACCTCATTTAGTTTTCGTTTCTGACTTCAGGGGCGATTAAACGAAAAGTGGAGCTGGACTGGGGCACAGAAGACATGGAGTATCTACAGAAGGTGGAGCTCCATTCAGAAGGAGCACTGAATGAAGTAAGGCCTGACATTATCATATATAATGCTGGCACGGACATCCTTGATGGAGACGCTCTGGGAGGTCTGGCTATATCCCCACAGGTACTGTCCTTCATTCTTCCTTTCAGTCCTCCATATCAGATCTTAGATGCACTGCTTTAACAGACGCTCGTCTTCGGCAGGGTTTTCTAGCCTGGTCAATAAACTCCTGTATCAATTATTCAGGCTTGCTTTACAGTCTTCATTTTGTAGATTTGGAAGTAGATTCGAGGAAAGACTTTTATTAAAGTAATATATCATAAAGTGTATTAATGGTAACAGTGTTTGATATCCTGTGTTTGTGACCCTGTGCTATGTTGACATGTTATGTCTAATAAATCAGACGATATTAGTAAGTTTCTATACTTTATGTGCGGCACTTGCACAATATTTCATTTTCTTAATTAAATGTTTGTGATTTTTTTTTTTTTTTTAATCAAAGCTGTTACAATTTTTCCAATAAAAATATCCAATAATCTATAAAGCAAAAGATTGTATAAGATATTAAGACTTGGGTAACACTTTACAATATGGTCCCATTAGTGCATTATAATGCATTGACTAACATTTACTAACAACGAGCAAAACAATTGTTACTGTATTTATTCATCTTTGTTAAAGCTGCCGTCCGTAGCTTTTTGGGTTAAAAATGATCCAGAATACATATTTGAGAAAATACATAACCAGCCAGTGTTCAAAACTATCTGCTTGCCTTAGATCGATTCAAAGCGGTAAGCTTGTAATAATGTTTTTAATTCCAGTGGTACTGGTGGATTTCCGCGGGAGATTCGAGCATGTCTTTGCGTCATTACGTCACATCTGTACACATAAAGAAGAGTCTCAGCTAGAAGGCTATGTTGCGTGTGAGGATGTTGGAGGTGGAGATTTATAGCCTTTTCTCACAGCACTTGATATAATTAAACTTATCAATTTGATGGTGGATCCAGAAAGGTTCAAACGACAATCACCAGTGACAACTGATTCACCCGCTGTAAAATGCAAAAGACTTCGTTCGGACTTCGGAGTGGCTACAGAAAAAAAGAGACTGCAACCGGACCCATGCGAAAACAAGGATACATATCGGAAGGACATTACATGTAGTCACGCAATGCTGACGTTGTTAACATTAACAATTTGAGAACATAGTATAATTTGCACGGTTTTGTGTGATATGATAAGCGATTATTAGATTTAATCAGCGCGATTTACTGCAATGTCAGAACCAGAACAAAGGTGGATGTTTCTTAGTTCAGATGACATTTTCCGGTGAAAATTATTATGTTGGTCATACTTCCAAAAAGAATAATCTGTGATTCTGAATGCCAGTATCCACACCGGCACCGTGCCGGTGACTGACAGCTGCACACTCTCCTCAAACATTGTGTTCATCCGCGCTGTGTGTCGTGTCGAAGTACAACTCACGTAATGTTGATAATTCCGCGAATGACTGCAATTGCCGATTTCGAACAGAGATGGCGACAAAGAGGAAAAGCTTTAACATTAATTAATAAAATTACTAATAAAAATACGACTGTTCATTATAAGTTCATTAAATAATATTAACAGATACAACTTTCGATTTTGATAATGTATTAGTAAATGTTGAAATAATAGATATTTTTCCCTGTTAGTTCATGTTAACCAATGTAATGTTAACGAATAGAACCTTGTTGTAGTGTCACGAAGACTTGTTTTCAAGTAATTTATCATTTTGTATATTTCTTTCTTGTAAACTTATACGTCATAATTGTTTTTTTATGTTATATTTTGCTTAAAAAAAACTTGGCAGCGGTATAATCCATCTGTCTGGGCAGGGTTTGTTGCCACTCTGAACAACTTCAAACTAATTTACAAGGAGAAAATAGGCCAGTCAACCTTATTATACTTAACTCTGAAGAGAGAGACTTAATATTAGCTTAGCTGATTGGACCAATTCAAATTCTCCTCACATAATAAATGTTCTTTTAATTTTTTATTAATTTCAAATTGAAAATTTGATAAAATGACTGATTACACATGAAAACATATTAAACACAAAATATTTCCCCCCTCTTTCAGGGTATCGTAAAGAGAGATGAGATCATCTTCAGGGCAGCCCGGCGACGAGGAATACCCATCCTTATGGTGACATCAGGGGGCTACCAGAAGAAGACCGCCCGCATCATCGCGGACTCCATTCTGAATCTGCACAGACAGGGTTTGATTGGTGAAGAGGCTGTTGAGGGTGCGGGACCCTCACATGTGCCGTTAATGATGACCAAATCCACACTGGCTGCCATTTAAGCTCTCCTGATCTTGGACATTGTCAAGTGTGTCAAACACACTGTTAATTTACCTAATGCAAAAACTAATGTATAATATTCTGGACAGGGGTCGTTTGGTGGTTTGGACCGAGATTGACTCAGGATAGTTTTGGTAGTTCATCGTTTTGAACTATTTAACTCGTATGTTTTTTTTTTTTCATTTTCCCCTCATTTCTAAGGATGTTTTATGCAATGCTTGTTTGCACATTACATTCTTAGAGGAATAGTTTACTCAAAAATAATTCTGTCATCATTTGCTCGCCCTCATTACAAATGCACTCAATTTCATTATATGGAAATGCACGTTTCTCCTTTTGTCTTTCACTGAAGAAAGAAAGTTTGGAATGACAGGGTTTTCATTGTTGGGTGAACTATTCCTTTAAATCTTTAGCCCACAGATTGGAAGGGAATTGATTTCTTATCAGTTTAAAAAAAAAAAGGATATTGTACATTCACACGTTCCTCTAGAAATCCCCAGTTTGAGATACACAAGAAAAATTTGCCGTATGATTTTGAGCAATTTGTGGCAGCTCTCTCCAACACTAGATAAGATTTATTCAAAATTAAATTATAGTGTTATGATTTCAATTTTGGATTCATTACAGATTCCTCATTGTGTCGACCTACTCTGCTATAACGCCTCAAATTATTCTGTGACATTAAATGGAAGTTGCTCTTAGAGACGTGCTTTTGTGACCCTTTCGTTTTAGCAGCACGCAGGAATTCTCATTTATGTGCATCAGCAGGTGGACCACTGTCAGTCTGAGTGCTTTCTATCATATTACACCTGGCAGGCTTTTGAAATGTCTTCAAGCTAAGGCCGGGGATCTCTCTATTAGGAAATGAAACTCTTCATTGGAAAGTCTGAGAGACACTGCAGTTGGTTGCCAGTGACAGTTCTAAAGCCATGATGTCTGATTCAATTTAACAAAATGGTTCCTGTCATCTAGAGAATAAATAGGAGATGATGGCAGATGATTCCTTTTCTTTGTTCAGATTTTAAATTCTAGTGTGAAATCAAGATTTATTAGTAATTTTTTAAATATTTATTCTGTGATTTTATTTGTGGACATCAAGTGTAGAACAGTCTAAAATGTTTACTTAATGAGTTTATTACTCCAGACAGATTTACCATTGGATTTGTCACTTTATTGGCATATTAAGCTTTGAGTTTATTTGAAGATATGGTTCACCCAGAAATTATTCGGACATAATTTATTTACCCTTATGTCTTTCCAAATCTGTTTGACTTCTTTTCTTGTGGGACACAAGTAAGAGCGTGGTGATTTTCCTGGTGATTGAAAAAAATATGATATGGTCAAAATAATTATATTTCTATGCTTTTGTGTTCACTCATGAAACTTTTGTGTTCCCCCTGAGACACTTTGTGTTCTCTCACTTTTTTCAGGGAAGCGCAAACAGTTTTGCTAGTTAACTCAAAGTTTCTAGCGGAAACGCAAACTTTTGTGAGCAAACGCAAAGCATTGAAATGAAATGATTCTTCTCATATTTTTCTGGTCACTATCCACTTTCATTGTATAGAAAAGAGTTCTGCAGAAAAAAAAAAAACAAGTTTGAAACAATAGGTTAGTAAATGATGTTAGACTTAATTTTTCTTTAAAGAACAATCACTTTTATTTAGTTTTATTTCAAGCTCAAGGTTGATATTCTGAGGGTTGTCTTTGTAAGGAGAGAGTTATGAGTCATGAACTTTGTGTAAGGCACTTATACTCAGGTCGCAGGGCTCATTTTCATGGCTCTGTTCTGTTGTGTGAAAGTCGGAGAAACTTTCTCCACCATCCCTGTTCATGTGGTGACTAATTAAAATGTACTGGTGTTAGTGGCCCTCCATACCTTTCTGCACTAAATTGCTCTTAGAGCACAGAATAATATAAAAACATTGCTCTGTTTGTTTGAGCATCCCGACCAGCCCTACATAGCTAACTTGCATCAACCAATGGCAGGATTTTGGGGTGGGACTATATTTTAGAGTGGCTAATGGCAGAGAATATTTGATGGTGCTTGTGGTACAGAAACACTACACACAACCTTTACCATGTTAATTAACATGTGCTTGTTCAAATCTACTGAAATAATATGATTGTTATTTATTTTATGATTTGTATTTGTTTACATTGATATCTCCCGTTCCACGTGTCCCGGTTCGAGACTTTAAGTAGCAGGTTATAAAAGAGAAGAGAGGAGAGCTCTAATTTGGTGAGGTTCTTTTGGGAATGGCAAAATTTGAAAGTTATTATTTTTTTTAAGGTCTCGGGTTGAGGTTATGAGTCTGATATTGCACTCGGGTGCTGGAGGGATCTTGGTAATGGACACTAATGAGTATAGTAGTGCTCTTTTCGTCCCTTTCTTTTTCTTTTTAATGAAAGCCGTCAAGAGGATGCGTATTGAGGTCACTTGAAAGATGTGAACCCTTTAGGTCTAGCCAGCAGTTTAATGGATCCGTACATGAAAAGGACCACTGTGGTCCTGCTTGAACAAATGACTTGGCTTAATGATGAGTATTTCATGTGCTTGGATCTAAATGGTTTGGTTAATAACATTGCATAATAGTGATTTTTTCTGTATGAACACTATAGACATAATGCACTTGTGATTTTTGCCACTTTATTTAACATTCCTTTGTTTTGAATTATTTTTTACTTGTAAATGAAATGCTACTCTTATTTAACTGATTAATCATATCATGTCGATTTAAACCTGTGTTTCATGTATAGAAATACCTTAGCACTTGGGTAATATATACAGTACATTTATACATAAATCCTAGTGCTTGTTAAAGGTGGGGTATGTGATTTGGAAAACGACCGGCAGATTTTGAAAATATACAATTCAAATGGTCCTACCTTCTTTCCTCCAACGCCGGCTCTGACTCCACCCATTCGAAGAACATGGACGGGCAATCATTCACGAGCGAAAACTCAGATGCCCGAGAGATTGTAATGACGATTTACTACTAATCATGGAACCGGCTTTACTGACGAGATGCGCATGCGTCACAAACTTTGAGTATGCGCACGACGGGGGTCACGCGTGCTGGGGGGAGGGGGGCGTGGTACAACCGTTTGATTGACGGACTTACTGTCCAATGATTCTGGTGGTCTTAGAAATGATTGGCTGGAGTTTTTCGAGTCCTGCCCGTTCCACAGATGATTAAATTGCTTAATTTTCATTTCAGTGCTTCTAACTGAGTGGCTGGCTGTAAGTGGGTTAGGAATAGGATTTCAAGTTATTTTGAAAAAATGTACAAAAAAGAGAATCACATACCCCACCTTTAACATCTAACAAATGTGCCAAATGTTTTCATGTTGTGTTCTTTTGTACCTGGCCTGTTTTATTTAATACCATTTTTATGTAAGAACAGGGAAAATAAATCAAGTCTAACAACGCAATTACCGAAGACCTCATGTTTATTGTATACTATATCTGTTAGCATTTCATAAGATTTATATGACTTTTTTCCATCAGCATGACATCTTCAAACACCTGCTGGTTTATTGTTTGAAATCCTCGCCACAACCGTAGAAGATTAATGTTGAAAGCAAGAGCTGAGCGGTGGGACAAATGTGCTGTATTATTCATCATCTCTGCTTTCAGTCTCTTTGTTGGCATGTTTGTTTTGCAGTGCAAAAGCAGATATAATCTGTTTATACTGACAGTTCAGTATGTGTGTTCCCAGGGAATCAAACCCATGACCTTGGCGTTGCGAGTGGCAGTTGAGCTGGATGCCCGTGATGTGGATATTATTTCAAATGAGGTGAATGATTTGCAACCATTTGTCCACTTGATACATCTGTTTTCCTAATCTAAAAGCCAAAAAACTACACCCACCGCTTTGAGCTTTCCGGTATGTCATCCGTACGTACGTCCCTCCCATACTCCACCCTCCAATGATGTCATGAGTTATTTCAGGAGGTGTCTATGACTCAGCAATCAAACGTCCAGAGCTCACTGGCGTCATGCAAGGTGTCTGCCTGAGAGCTACAAAAGCAGCTCTAAAGGATGTCTTTATTTAGACACCCCATCGCCACCGTTTTACAGGCTCTCATTAACTGCTGCTATGCCCTGTTTACACAGTCTGAGGTAATGAGTATGGGTCCCTTGTTCCTTACTCTTCAGCCTGATTAAGAACTTTCTTGGGCGTTTGTTCAAGGAGAGATGCTAGAGTGGTCTCTCTTGACTCATTTAGGCATGCCAATGGGGAAGCTATGAATCTTTGAGATTACTTTTGAGGGGTGTTGAACGAAAAATGCGATTTTGCTGGATACTGAATATTTCATTTTGAGTGCTGAGCAGGACTGTGCAGCCAGTTGCATGTGTCTGTCTACATTTATTGATTTATTTAAATGTATTTTATTTATGAACAAAGTTTACAGTTCCACCGTTCAGTCACTCCTGGCTTGAACTTTATTATAGAGTTGCTGAATTGGATTCAGCCTTGGAAACCTACAATCAGTAATATCCTTTGAAGTCTCAGTGGGCTGTTTACCTCCGTGTGAGGCGGTTTAACCTTGAAAATGTACTCTCAAGAGGAAGTTTGACTGAAATTACAGTAAGCAGGAGGGGATGTTTGATCTCAAGAATGTGTGGAGGACAATGTCATATTCCAAATGTTGGTAAATAAGAATTGTTCACCCTAAAATTAACATTTCATCTTCATTTATTCATCTTCATGTCTTTCGTGAAACACGGAATGAAATATTTGGTGGAATGTCAAAGCTGATCTTTTTCTGCCCCAAAAAAGGACAAAAAAAAGCCATAAAATCAGATTCAAAAATAGCTTTATTGCCAAGTTTTTCCACGCACAAGGAATTTGCCTTGGTGAAAAAATCTTCCAGTGCAGAAAAAAGTACAGACATTGTGCAGACATTAGGCAATTAGGCAATAGAAATCAGTCCAGAGACACTACAAGTCTTTTGAAGCCATTCAACAGCCTGTGTTAATTTAATGTCATTCTTAGACACATTGCACCAGGTTTTATGTCATTGACTGATGCTCTCTTCCGTGACCAATCACAA